TACACTGTGTTCTCTTAACGCTAAGAGACACACTTCAGACAGCCTTCAATTCATTCAGACTTTGTCAGCTGTACCCTCACCGGCCTTCCTTTGAGCCAGATCAATTCATTCCCTCTTTGTTACTTGCCAGAACGTCTCCCACAGCGGCTACTCAAGGAGCTGATTTTCCACCAAAGGTTTTTGCGCCGCCTCACCCTTTTTCTAATATGACAATCTATCGGCTGATGTCCTGGATGCATACCAGTAGTAATATGGTATCCGAAACCAAAGTCTCGCACCTCATCAGAGATGTAATGATGGCAGATGATTTCAACCCTAAGGACCTTGAGGACTTTTCAATAAGGCGAAGCTTGCGAGAGTTGGATACAGACAACAAGAGGAGAAGAGTTACTTTTCCAGATGACTGGATCAAGACCAGCATCACTATTAGCATTCTGACAAAGTCAAAGGAGGAAGACCCTCAGCCATATACTACTCCTGGATTCCACTATCGCCCTCTGGTCGAGGTCAAACATGCAGAATTTGCAGATGTCCAAGCCAGGGCATTTCATCTATCACCTTTCCAATGGTTGTGGAAAGACCCTCTGGATAGCCACCAAGAGCGGATTTTTGACAAGCTTTACACTTCTGATGCCTGGCTGGAGGCTCAAGACAACCTGCAGAAGTTGCCAAAGGAGCCTGGGTGCTCATTGGAATACGTCATCACAGGTTTGATGTTATTTTCCAATGCAACCTATTTGGCAAACTTCAGGGACCATGAAAGCTTGGCCACTTTATCTGTATTTCAGAAACCTGACGAAATATGCATGATTATTGCCTTTATCGGGAGCATGTCACATTGTAGGGTTTTTACCCTCTGTAAGTCCTGTTTGATGTGACACACTCATCTGTCATTGACAATGTCAGCTTCCTGATGGTGTGAAGGATATCTTGAGTAGCCTATCCCACATATTAAAAACAGGCATGGTGTCCCTTCATACTCACTGCCACAGGGAGCTCTTTCATTCCTGCTGGGAAATATTGTTGGATGATGATTTTATTTCTGTGTATCGGCATGGTATCATTTTGATGTGCGCTGATGGAGTGATGTGGAGGATCTTTCCCGAATCTTCACATATTCTGCTGATTACCCTGAAAAGTATGATACTCTTCCAGTGACCTTTTTTAAAAATAATACATTTACTGATTGGTTTACAGGGTTTTACTCGCGACTATAAAAGATATGGGCTTGTGTCCATGCCCTTGCTGTCTCACACCAAAAAGCCTGTTTAGTACTCTCAGCCTCGCAAGGGACATGAAAAGTTGTATAGCCAATCTTCGAGTGAACACTATGGCGAAGGTCGTTCAGGCTCACAAGTTTATTTACAGATGTGGAAATACAGTAGATGGTGCAAAGGTAGATCATACCCTTGGAGACTGGTTCATGGGTACCTACCCTAATAAGTAAAATAGTTCTTTTACCATTTTATCTTCGGCTCACATCATAAACTTGCAGAATCAATTTGTTAAGAAGCTTGGGCCCCTCAGCCTTGACCCATTCTGCATGCTCGTTGTTGACTTCATGCACAAGTGCGAATTGGGTACCTGGAAAGGACTATTCACATACTTAATTAGGCTCCTCTATGTCCTTCCTCGGGTACTGAACTTGTCGCGGCCCTGGACAGCAGGTATGAGAGTTCTTACAGAGTGTTATTTCATACTAACATGTTGAATAATCTCAATGTTCGGTAGATTTCAACAGGTCCCTACTTTCGGCAATGGCGTGATTCATAATTTTTTGAACAATACATCTGAGATGAAAAGACTGGCAGCACGTGACTTCGAAGACATCTTACAGGTGTTTGGAGCTATTTGTTTTTTGCATTCCAGTGCTGACAACTCTTCATTGTTAGTGCACAATCCCGGTTTTTCGAGGGGTTGTTCCCCCCAAAACATGATGTGGTCATACAGTCTCTGCTTTATCAATTTGCGCAGTGGCATGCACTTACCAAACTTAGGATGCATTTGGAGTCTACACTTAATTTTTTAGGAGAAACATTCAAGAAACTGTCTCAGAAGTTGCGAAATTTTTGAACCTTTACCTGTGCTGCCTTCAATACTCTAGAATTACCTAAAGAGAAAGCAGCTCACCAATGAAGGGCAGCTCAATGCTCTGAAACTGAATGACCTCCCTCCAGAATCAAATAGAGCAAGAATAAAAAAGTTCAATTTGAGTACATACAAGTTTCACATGATGGGGGATTACATGAGAATGATCAAGTTCTTTGGGACGACAGATTCTTTCATGACTCAAATTGTATGTATCATCTACATTTTTGTTTGCCTGAAGTTTAATGTTAGCCAGGGAGAACTTGCTCACAGAGCTTTGAAAGTGTTCTATCTGTTGATGAGCAAAATCAACACCCCAGTGCAACTAGCCAAGCATGAGTGTAGGTGCCGTGTACTACGACGGGTGGCAGAAGTTGAAGGTACATCCTCCTCTAGCAGTCAGCCACTAGCTGACATCCCCCATTGACAACCTCTAAACAGCATCACTACATTGTGCCCACTCAAAACCATCCAGTGAAGCTTCTCGCATTTCTCCAATATCATAAAAGGTGATTCGGCTGTTAAGGTAGAGCTTTTATGCATTTTATATGCACTGTATGATTCACTCACAGCAGTTATCAGAATTTTTTACCAAAGCTAAAGGACCATATCCTCTATAGATCGTGGGAGCTGGACATTAGTTACTGCAACCACACCTTCGCGGACGAGGAATGCAACTCTGTCATTATTCCCAACAACATGATATATTTGGTCCAGACCATGCAAGTACATTATATGAGCTATGACTTGAGATATGAATATGACACTATCAACCCCAGAACTCACGGGGACGTTATGGTATTGTCAGGAGAGATGATGCCTAGCCACCCATACTGGTATGCATGCGTGTTAGGCATATATCACATGGAGGTCTGGCTCAACAATGGAAGCCAACCTGTGAAGCGGAATCTCAAAGTTCTTTTTGTCAAATGGCTTGTGGACTTACAGAGCTATAAATGTGGCATGAAACATACCCGTCTGCCAAAGATTACATTCATGGAGGAGTCGGACCCAGACATGTTCAGGTTCCTCAACCCAGGACAGGTAATCCGAGGAGCACACCTGATTCCTGCATTTGCATCAGGATGTGGTGTAAGTTCCATTCAACATGGAACTTTGTTGGCACGTCCTGGGGGTGAGCTGGATGACTGGGAAGAGTACTATGTCGGAATGTGAGTGTACATATTCATTTTCATTGTTGTGGCACATTAACACTCAAGATTTGAATCAGCTTCGTCAATTGAGACATGTTCATGTGCTATACTCAATTTGGAGTCAGACATCCAGCAATGCTACACAAGATCATCAGAGACTGTCTCAGCTCTGAGTCGATGGTACAGGCTGATACTATGGACGTTGTGAGTGAGGATGTGGACCAAGAAGTTGACGATGACAGCGAGGGTTTTGATGAATGCCACAATGAACAGGAGGACGGCGATGACTCAGAGAGTTTTGAAGGATCAGATCATGAGAGCAGGGAACTACTAGATGATGGTGAAATTGGGGATGACAATAGTGAAGCAGGGGATGCAGACAATGATTTTGATGACTTATCTTTCTAATCCTGCCTGAAAAACTTTCAGCTGCACTTTGTATAATTTTTTAATTCTTTTATTACTACTAGGTGGTAGTACCCTCACTTTGAGACCAGCAAGTCACTGTGATGTTAGCGAAAATGGTTGATCGTTTTGTTTGCAGCTAAACTTGAAAGTGGTTGTTTGGATCTAAGGGCTTTGCCAAACAATGAGTTGGTACACTGTTGTCCAACAGGTTAAGATACATGGATTCGATCCTTGACTTCATACATCATAAAGCTAGACTCACTGGCACAAAGCAAGATGGTTATGTCATGTAATTCACGCCACCAGTGATCCTTTCTATCAGGCATGGCTAGTACTACTCGGCAGTTGAATGTGATGCAACACTGCAGCAAAGTATGTCTTGACACCTTGTGTGGTTTTCAGGAGTTGATTTGATTATTATTATTGATGTAGATTGTCACCATCAGAGATTGCATGAAGGCACAGACACACCGTGCCGCCTTCTTTATCGAGAAGATGCTACCTCATGTTCCAGAACATTTACATGCAGGCTGCTTGTCATTTGACTCATTATATGATGCATTTGGTGGCAAGTTAGCACACTGGTATGATTATGTCAATGATTACAGTATGTTATTATTATTGTCTTATCTCTTCAAGTGGAATACTGATGGATCATATTTCTCAGTCAATGCGGCAGGTGGAAACTTTGAAAGTAAGTACACATCGCTATAGCACACTGACAACCATTAACGTCGCATCATGATCAAGCAAAGCTCCCACTTCCTTCAAGCACATGCAGTCCTTAACCTTCACATCATCCATTCCTCACAAGCTACCACAGTGACCAGCAGCAGCCAAGACCCCACAACACCTAGCACACCTGCTACCCGCCCGCGCTCCTTAGGGCCTCACGCTCTTCATGCCAACCTCAGGCCCACTGGTTTCAAATCATATCCTCATATTCAAAACTCCTTCTGCGACCCCAGCAGTGTCAGCGAGGAATATTCAGCACGATGCAACTACTCAAAGTTATGAGCAAATTGAGTCAGGTGGGGATGACCTACCTGCCATATTTTTTGCTTTGTCGGGAGCTTGGTGTATGTGCGGTGGATGGAATGATTAAGGGGCGGGTGCTGAATCTGCATAGGACAGACCCAGTGACACATGAAGGAGACCACCAGCCCGCTCAGAACCAATAATGTCTATCACTGTCACGGTTAGCCCGCCAGTGGGTATCATACCCAGCCCTATCAATATTGGGAGTGGCAGCACACTTGGTGCATCCTCAGAAGATGACGATATGATGGCGATAAATCCCATCAATATATCTATGTGGAAGCTCAGGCAGATTGATGAGGAAGATGAGCATGACGAAGTGATTGGCCCCAAACTAATACTTCTATGCCGATCATGCATTATGCAATGCGAGAAGTTGTGCTGGAGTATGAAGATGGGACATTGTCTGATTACACTTCTTTTACTGATGTCAAGGAGTACTGAGTGGCCACTGGCTGGCTTCCACCTGGCATACTCTTCCTATCACAAGTATCCATTAAGTTATTCATATATCATCTCCCCTTCTGAAAATTTCATTCATTTTGCATGTGCTATGTAATGATTGATGGTGTAGTAAGGAACTTGAAAGACAAGTGTCAGAAGGTCCTGTCCTTTGGTTGCTGTAGCTTCTCAGATGACTTGCCCCATCATAATCTCACTCTGCATGTGGTGCTAGACACTACGTGTCTATGCCATGTTCCCTTTCGTTATTAGAAAGGATGCTTTTTCATTTTGTCAATGGTCATCTGTCATACTAATTGTCACTCTGTAACTAGCAATATTTCTTGGGTTCTCAGTATCTAATGTATTAGCATGTAGGTCAGGCAAGCAGCATATATCAGTCACAGACATGGATTCTTGAACCGGGATGAGCTGATATGTATGATTATTTAATGTAGTAAAGATCTAGATTTTGTCAGAAGCTTTGAAAAACTTAGATCAAAACCCTAAAGATTAACTGTTACAAGAACATCTAGATGCTTGGGCCCCTACCATTTTTCTCCTAATCCTCCTCGTATCGGCCCTTGCATCATACCCTTACCCCGACCTTACCCTGGTCATCCTTGTCATCCTTGCATTCCCTTTCGCTCTCTATCTGTCGCTTCAGCAAAGCCAGTACATCTGGCTGGACCCTTTTGCTGACGAAGCATACCCATGCTCCGTTTCGCCACCTGACTGATCCTGTGGACAGATGCATGACACATCCCCTTTGCCCTTTTCCCTTTCTTGATCTCTGACTCAGTGCGCAGTCGCACATGCGACTTATACTTAGCTCTGCAGCTGCACGATCGTGCCCCTGCATGTTTCACTTCTTATTTCGACCTTTGACTCACTTTCTTATCCAGCACGTTCTGCCTTGCCCGTGTCTCAGCACGAACGTGCTTTCCTTTTATGGTTATGCCCTTTACCGCTTACCTCTCTTGGTAGTACGAGTTATCACCCACTAATACGTCTCCCGTCCTCTATATAAACTCGCTACCATGTACTATATTCCCTAACTTGAATCTACTTGGTTCTTGACCTCCTACTCTCACCAGAGTGATCCCTTCTGCCTAGCCAGCAGTCTATATTCTATCTTCTTATCTGCTCTTCGCGGATAAGCCTATAGTCTCGATCTTTACTCATCGACTTCGTCGACGAGCAAAGCCCCTGTTAACTAGTTGGACTTCCGTCCTTCTAATTAATGACGATCTTACGATTAACCTTCGGGTGTCGTAAGCCTTGGCAGATACAGCTCATTGACTAGCACCCGCTTGACGTAAGCTACCCGATTTGGACATAGGCGTCAAATCTTACTTGCCGAAGCCTCGCCAAGACCCCTAACCTTGGGCTAGCCCAAGGACGTCCTCAACCGTTGACGACACACGCTCTGTTTGAGCGTCACCAACAGATACCATCCAAGTTGTAACATTAACGTGTCATGGCTTTGTTGTGGTGTTCACTGATGTCCAACAACTGTTAACCAGTGCCCAAGGTACTTTCTCATGACATGGCCTTAAATAGCATTGTAATGCAACACATGATTAAGGCAAAATGACAATGCGCGAAATAGTTGGAATAAAAATGCTACCACTCCTTATCAGCTGCAAAGGAGGAATGTCGCAGCTTTGTTGCCACGTCTACTGGTATTTTACATCTGTCGACAAATACTCAAGGCACTTTCCACGAGAAGGTCTTAAATAAGATCATAACCCTAAGCCAAAATAAAGCAAAACGACAATATTTAAAAAGGTGGCTACAAGTATAATACTACCCCTTAGTGGCTGCAGTGGAGTAACGTCAGAAAATCATCATGGTCCGCTGATGTTATTCTAGATTTGTGGCCATCGATGGCTATGTATCAATAACTAACATTTCTGACGGTATAGATGGTCATGTTTGGGAGAAGCAAAATTATATTATTATATAGTTCCCATGGCTACAATGTCAAGGACTAATCAATTCACTGATGGTGGATGGGAAGAAGAGGCGAAACATGCATCCACTGTGTCGCTCGCTCTCAGCATCTACGTGCCAGGCACCGGAACGTCAACCCACACTCCGAAAATACACAGACACTGGCTGACAGATTTGCATCGCAATTGACGTCAGGGCATCCGGAGATAACCCGATGAGCAGCCGTTCATGATAGGAAGCACAAGGGCACCTTGCCCGCGGTACAGATGGAAGATTCAAAACTCTCAGCAGAATCAGCTCAAGTATTTGGCGATGGACAGACACGTTCGTTGATGTGGGATTGGCGGACTCAGATTGACCTGAGGCGATGCACCAAGTGCCCTAATACTGGGTGCGTGTGTGTGGTACTAAAACGAGACGAAACGACTTGCGGGGGCAAAGCTTCATGCACGCGACAACATATTTTTAGAACAAATTGACCATTATGTACTAAAATCTGAATGGTGTCAAAATAATGTGATTGGACGACATCAACGCACGTGCCAGCGGCGGCGACTCTGTATGAGTTCGGCCAGTGGGATTCTCGCAAGTCGAAACGTCCGTACGGCGTAACAAGACTCGGAACAACAGCTGACATCCCTGTTCACTTGTCAATCGAGCGTCTTTTTAAACAGGTAATAACCCCTGTCTACTGCTACCGGTAATTGTCTCGGGACCTGAGCGCTGAGCCTCCGCGTTCGATAGGTCAATGGTCTCAAAAAGCCAACATCTTTACATGCACACTCAAGAGATCTGGTTCAACAGAATTCAAGATCAAACACATAGATAAAGCGCCATAAGAAATTCTACAATTATCCACTCTTGCGAAATACATAATAAACAAGCAAAACCAAATGAAGTAATTGGTTTGAACGAAGATACTATAAAAGCAGAGTGAACATTTAGATGCAGGCCTCACGGAACAGATATTTAGGCGCACCGTTGTCGCATTCCTCAATTAAGCATGGGTGAGTGAGTAACGTCCGGTGTTCGGGTCGCGCGCGAGGTTCCAAGTCGTGTTCTGAGCAAGCCCAGTGAGGTCCTGCGTCCAGATCGCAGGAGTGTCAACTTGACCTCGTAAGATCGCGGTCTCTTCATAGTCGGCCGTAATGTAGGCACGCAGGACCGGAGTGTACTTCGCTGTGACGCGACTGCCATCTCTGCGTTGTATATCGTGAACGTCCCGAACAAGAAATACAAGAAAGATAACATACCCGACATCGCTGAAGTAGAGTACGGGGGTGGGCATGAAATCTCCTTTGTTTACAAAGCCTGGAAGTGGACAATAAACTCAAGTGAAAAAAGAGCAGACGATGATGGTCACAAACCGACTGCGATCTCTTGAATAGAACCAGTGTGGTTCTGGGCCTGCAGGATGCCAGCGGGTCCCGACTCAGGGGGCTACACGAGATATTCGTCGGTGGTCGAGATGAATGTCGACAAAAGTCAGACTTACAGAGAAATGATAGACCTCGTTGGCCTCAGTCAGCATTGTCTTCTGGTTGATCTGCATCATGACTTGCATTGGTGCTAGCAATTCAATAGGTGAAAGAGGGTCGCTCACATTAATATTGACGGAGGTTGCAGCGCCGATGACCTTCCCGGCATCGACCTGGGCTCTGGAGAAAGCGAGTCTGTACACTATATAAGCGACTTTCAAGACCATCGTTCTGGTCGATCATCTTACTGGGCCGTGTAGGTCGCGGTAGCCCTGTATGGACCTGGAAATAGGGATCATGTGTAAGTTAGCGACTTGGCAGCAAAAGATAGGAGGACACACCATCCTTCCCGAATTTGGTGACCCTGAAAAAATTACAAGGTTTAAAATCGTCCCCAGTCGAAGTAGGCGCACTTACTTCCAAACTATCGGGAAGACGTCCTGGTAGAGGCCATCCAGGTTGGGACTCCAAGCGAGCATGAGAGTGACCTCCTTTCCGAGGTTGTTGCTGCGAAATGACGAGTCGGTTGAAGAATTTGTGAAAACGAGATCGCAGACACTCACGACTGGAAGGTCAAATTCCTGACGAAGGGACGGGGTGCCATTGTTTCAGATTGTTAAACACGAAGTGTAGTGCTGGTAGTTGAGATGAAGTGTGAATTGAAGAGCTTGAATTCTGAAGTTAGAGTCTCAGCAAGCAGGTTTTTATATGTTTCGGGTGGCATGGTATGTTGCACCTCCTTTCTTGTTTTGCGACTCAGCCAGCGTCTCCTTCGTGCGCCGGTACCTGGCGCTGAAGATCCTAATTATTCAACAAGGTGACAGCACATGGTAGCCCTTGATTTACTAGACAGCCGGCTTCTCCACGAACCGACTCCCCTGGGCGTTAAATTAAGTGCTGGGAAGTTCGTAGCTGTGGTCGGCTGTCCTTCATACCTTCAGTTTGTATTCCTTTCATAACGTCGCCGTGACAGGTAGATGGCATTGTAATCGAAATAGTGAGCCTATACTTGTCAGAAGTTGGATCAACGGGAGCACATGGGCCATGGTACATTTTGCACACGCAACTGCTATAAGTTTTTGCTATAGTAGTCACTGGTGACCCTGTCGGCCCGAGTTGAGTCCGGGGTGAATCAACTGTCAAAGTCAACTGTCAGTCAAACGAGCTGCAAAAGACGCCCAACCTGCATAAACTTGGAACTAAACTTGAATCTGCCGAGTTGCAGTGTCTGTCGTTCAGAATGTTCAAGGCACTCCGCCTTCACAGCTAGTCCTAGCGTGAGAATAACATCGCATCAGCAGGCAAATTTAAATGACCTGAGTCAGCAAAAAGCGTTGAAGGTTATATTTTTGGTAACTTACATAATGATTCGTGTCCAACTTCAAGTTGACAACTTGTTATTTTCAATGGTCAAAGTATAGTATGTCGCCGCCTCGTCTCATAATCTCTGAGTCACTCACTGTCCGTCCGCCGAAATGTGTGTTCTTGTTCGAGTGTCAAAATTTGAAGTAAATATCCATAACCTTCCAATGGGGGCCGCCATGATTACATTTTGTCTCCCGCAGGGTTCGACACTGCCAATGTGTGTATACTTTTCTTATTTCGACGTGCTCCTATCACCGCGGCTGATTCTGTTTGCAATAATTTAATTGAAAGCATCGACAGTGGGACCGAGCCAGATTGATAGCTTCTGCATTGACATGCATGTGTGTAGTGGCATCAACTCTTACGAAAGGTTAGAATATAAAATTATCGCTTTTAAAAAAATCTCGAAGTCATCTACACTCATTTACACGATGCTTAGGATATTCAACCGTACGTCTTCGTCCCTCGCCTGCTGTTGGTACCACAAAACTACCAAGTTTGGTACACAACACCGCGGGGAAATGCACAAAGGAGGCGAGGGCTTGCAGGGTCTTAACAGCGTAAGGTAGCTTTATTTACATTGTTCCTAAGCAGGCACCTCCTGACGCAGCCCATCAGTGAACCGGTATTCGGCATTCCTCCGGTTAAAGCACGACGGGCGTCTTGCAGCTTGTTTGACTGAACTTTGACTTTGACAGTTCATTCACCCCAGACTCAACTCCGGCCGGCGGAGCCAGGACTATGGGCAAAAGGATATTGCAATCACGCGTTGCAAAATGCGTCCTGGCCCATGGGCTTCTCGTGACTGAACACTCTGCAAGTCTAGTCCCACCCTGTTTCGACCCAATGACATCTACCTTAGCGGGCAGATCAAATACCAGCGCTTGGCACTCTGTACTTTGGACCAACAGCTGGGGGACTTGCCCTGACTGTCCGGGGGTCAAGGCTAACAGCAACGAGTGCTCGTCGTATTAAAAAGCCTGCAATGTACGCTGTTTTCTCCAAATCATCCTCTTTACATATCAGCCCTGCATATCATCATTGTCTGACATCACCCCACAGAAACAACATGTCTTACACAATCGCAGTCAGAGTCATCGACGCCACCAACAACAATTCCAATTTCACGCTCGCTGAGAAAAATGTGTGGCATAACGGGAGGTGGTCCAACACAGACTCGGTCCAGACACTCACCATGGGCGGAAGTGGTACGTCTGGTGGGCTCCGCTTCATAAGCGGTACCGGGGAGAAGTTCCTTGTTGTGCTAGGCATCCACAACTACAAGAGGTGGTGCGACATCAACACTGACCTCGCGCCTCCGGTCACGGCAACTAATATTCACCCCGAGTACTACACGGACGGCAGCGCTCGGAACAGGTTGCTTGGGATCAACGATCTGAGATCCAGAAGACCAGTGCAAGGGGGGACCAGGGTGGATGTGAAGTATGTCCACGAGGCGGCCGACAGCAAGTCCTTCGTCGTTCACATCACCATTTCTTGAATATCTTGAAGTTGTGCACACCGCTCTCGTACCAAAGCAGTTGTTGAAACATGGCGTACTATGACTCAGATGCAGAACAAATGTACTATAAGTGTGTAATGAAGTCGATATCATGATGAATATTTTGTTTGCGAAATACAGGGTGTTTAGCCACTGACGAGGGCAGCTGACATAGATTCATCACTGAATGGAAGGTAGCTTGCTGACTCTGGGGGTATTGAAGGAGAAATTACTATGTTACAGATGGTCCATGCATTCATAAAAGGTACCCACCAGAATGTGTATCATAAATCAACCCGAAGTTGATCATCCCCATCAGCCTATGACTCATATAGGCTCTCTAGCTAGTATTCATATTTTTATGCACCACTGTCCAAATCCATGTTGTTCCGGCCCGGCTTGGGCTCAAAGCCCTGGCTTAGGCTCAGCCTGGGGTGGCTTAGGCTTACCAGATTTCAAGCCTGAGCCGCAAGCCCAAGCCGACCCAAAGCTGGGGCTTGGGCCCATGCAAGCTGTGGCCCACATGCTGAATTGCATGTAATTGATGTGATCGACTGAGAAGCTGATACCCATTGCCAGATGGCAACATAAACATAAACAGAAACTTACATACCGAAATAGATAGTGCACTGCTAAGCCACGGCTTGGGCCAGCGGCTTAGGCTTCACAAAATTGAAGCCTGGGCCAAAGCCCTGGTCAGACCGTGTCCTAGGCCTGGCTGGGCCTGGCTCAATCTGGCCTGGCCTGGGGCTTGAAGCTGAGCCAGAACATCACTAGGACTCCAAATCGCCCATCACACTGCTGATCTATAGTCTCTTCTTCATTTCACCTTTCTTCCATTAAACCAATAGAATCCTATATTGGGTTCCAAGCTAGTGTTCCAACTTCTGCAGTTTTCCATCGAAATTGTACAATCTAGTGTGACCGTAGTTTGACAGCGACTTTGGAGCATGAACTATGAATGTTATAGCTCATCAGCTTTTAGCCAGAGGTATCATATGCCAATGTATGAGCCCACTGGCAGCAGTGAACTTCAAGTTGAAAGTACCGGAACTTTAAAGACACCTGACTGACAAGTGAACATGTGATCAGTCGCTCAGAATCACCCCTTGGTCATCAATCTAAGTAGGTATCAAGAAACATGTGTAAGTTATCAAACTGTTGAGTCCTCTTCCACATTATTCTCTTCCAAGGTAGAGACCGACATCTTCTCAAAAAGAAACAAAATGGTGCTGCCAGGGACATCACAAACAGTTAATGGCTGTGTCACTTCATCCATGACAAGAGCTTGGTGCATGTGATTGAGCGCCAGAATCTGACAGAACAAATAATTCACTCACAATTGCTAGGTCCAATCTTGGTCACCTGCCTCTGATAGATTTTCTCTTCCCAGAGGTGATATAAATGGATTACACATCTTGTCAGCAAAAACACTCACCCTCGATTGTTCCTGCAGTAAGAAATCAATAGATGAAAACTGGCTGTTTCTGCCCGTCGCTATGATATTTAATAAGCGCAAGATGTTTTTAATGATTTTCTTATTCACTGATGAATGCGTGCCATGGACTGAAGGTCACACACCTTGGGTTCCAATCAGAATCTAAATCTATCAAACATAATCTTGACGCGCTGATAAGGTTGATCCGATCAATACTATCCACTCACATTGTATGATAAGGTCGAATGCATTACCATTCATCATGAAAAAATATAAGATGCTGGGCCTGTCTCGCTCATATGTGTGTTTATCATAACACCCCTGCTCTTCAACCAGCCTGTGGGTCTTTATACAGCTGCAATTCATTGTGGATGGGAAGAAGAGGCCAAACATGCATCCGCTGTGTCGCTCGCTCTCAGCATCTAGGTGCCAGGCACCAGAACGTCAACCCACATCAGGAAAAAACCCAAAATGCTGTAGGTTGGGTGATGGCTATATAGCACTTTTTAGGCACAGTAGCACTATGTAGGCACAGCTTACACTACAGTGACCTATATAGTGCTATATAGTCTTAAGCCATGCTACAAGCAGCTATATGGTTGGAAGATGCTACAGGTAGCTACAGGAGCTACCACTGCAGCTACAGGCAGCTACAGGGTAGTATGTACATGACACATCATTGTATCTAATTACTTTATAACACATGCGCAAAACATTTCGCCATCAATGAACTCGTTGAAATAAAAATTGTTCACCACCTCATATGCATTTCTGCTTCTCAACCTCAAATCTACTGACTGTCCCATCCTCGGTATTAAATGGCACGGCCGCACAATTTAGTCAATGTGGACTACAGCAGCATTGCTGCAAAGTTGGCAGGTTGAGCGCGAACCTGTTGCATTTGAGAGGAAGGGTCGGGTGGTTTGAAAGGTGTGAACCACTCGACATAAGCGAGGGCTCTGGAATATGCGCTGAACTGGTGAGGTAGGGTGAAAATAGCTCAAACCTGGGCTACTCATACACCTGAAACAAGACTATTATCAAAATTGACTGCTGAGAAACTTGGCAAAAAAAAATACCCTCAAGAGTATGCAAATGCGAAGAGTGAGGCCTGTCTGCTATCAATGCCATGTCAAACTGGGCTGGGGTACCAGGCTTCCAGCCTGACGGCAACTTTTCTGGAGTTGCTCTGATGTGCCTTTGCTTTGGCACATCGCTAACTCGTAAATCTGGTGGCATCACAATCACCACTTGACAATAAAGATCGAATCAGTCTTGAAGACCAGGGACTATGGTGTTGTGCAGGAGATTCTTGAGTAAGAACAATCAGAGAGCAGGGAGGAACTCAGTAGCACTGTGTGCTGTTATGATGGTTTGAACAGATTGGTGAGGATGCACAGGGACTTTTGCAAGGACATGGGTTGCTTGAAGTGGTTCAACAACGGGAAGATTTGGTGTTTCTGACTCTGAGTCCGTGTCTGAATCTGCGTCGATGCCGTGTGGGTTTGAGTGAGGCTGTTGTGACAAAATCCAGGTATGTGCTACGTATAAACACAGCTTCCTGGCATTGGAGCCACAAAGCCATTTGTTCCTCGTAGTCCCGTTTATTGCTAGCATGGTATGAGTCCTTTGTGAAATCAATGTGCAAGTGCTTGGGAAGTTCTGTGTCAAAGCTGTCAGCTGCACCAAACAACATGATGGACTGTACATAATGAGAGAGCTGGTGTAATTTTGGTATGTTGAAATGCTCTTGAACAGCGAGCTCCTTGAGGATGTCTTTATTGGCATGAAATATAGTCAGAGTGGTTTGTAGGGCTTCGAGGGACTCAGTTGTCTGAATGTGCAGCTGGGCATAATATGAGAAGTCGAGAATAGATCGTGCAACTACCAAAACATGACTGCCAGGCATGACATCAAAACATCATTTTAACGACTTGATAAACACACACCTAGGTACTGCCATTCTCAATAAGCCAACAAATACTCACTGCATCTCTTTATGTTCACATTCTGTCAACTGCTTCACACTCGATATCCCTTTCTTGAAGTGTCAAAGGCTGGGATAATTCAGGATCACCTTGAAATGTGCGTCCATTTCATCCTCCCCAATAATATTGATGCACCACTTCACAAGGTGGTCTTTGAACACACCTTTGTGAAGTTGATGCAGAAGGTCAGGTGTGAACACTGGAAAAATGTCCGTGTGAGGCAGATCAGCCCAGAAAGGCTTGTAAACAGCATGTAGATCATTGGCCTCGAATTCTGGAGGATGCTGACCAATCTTGCACTTGTGCAAGATTTCTTTTGTTGACTCTGGATCACACATTGCCGAGTTGAGTGCATCCCCTCGCTCATTTGCTGCTACAACGCACTTCGGACATCGGTTCTCTTTGCAACAATTAACCAAACACTGCTCCAGAAAATCGGCAACATATGCTGCAAGAATTGGGTAGACACGACGAACCCATGAGTCCGCACACACCATTTCGACACCATCGTTTCCAGCACCAATGAGAGGTTGGAGCAGTAGACACAGGTTTGTGTAATTTTGATGCATCAAACAGTGCAACTGTATCACTCCAGTGATGCATCATTGGTGCAATTGTACCACCCTTTGCCCACCTCCACTTTCTGATGCATCCCCTCTGTTTCTGATGCATCATGCATCCCACGATTCCCACCCACCCCTGTCTTCTCACATCCCACCCACTCCTGCCTTCTCACGCCCTTGCCTTCTCACATGCCATCTCCCATTGCGCATTGTCTCGCGCCCGCTGTTGCCGTTCAGTTGCTGTTTCGCGCCTTTGCTCTATTTTGTGCCATGCTGTTGCTGTAAACTCTGCAAATGTTGATACCAACTCTCACTAACATGTATTGAGTGACCAAAATTCTAACAATGGTTTATGTACTATCTAAGTCCATGTCTTCGAATCTGTCCACCAGAGCCAGGGTATTAGCCCAGCTGATCTTGAAAGATTTGGCAAGCATTCAACATAAAATGGCTTGACGTTTGGCATATGCCATATGTCCCTCGCGTTGATCTGTGTCTTGTAGTGCATTTCCTAGGCCCCACTCGTCCCAGCGCTGCACATCCCACTCAAAAAATTGCTGAATCCTTTGCATCTCCTCCTTCAACAATTCAACCTCTTCTGCCCAGTACATCGCCCATGCCCTAGCTTTACACCATTCTATTTGTATATCTGATTGACCGTGAGCCTGATGTAGGAAGCAAAAATGAAGAGCCACCTACCTTCCAAGATATTGTCCTTGTCCATCTCATTCGGAGCTGCTCCCCATATACTCCAGATCCATGACAACTTTCTCATTCCCTCCAATTCTCCCCATAGTATGTCTGTCATTGAGCAGATGTCAGCTCGGTCTAGTGGCCGCAGTGATGAGTGCCACCCAGACTGGGTCTGATTCACTTGTGGTGCAAGAACAACGAGGGATTTATGTGCATGCTCATAAGTCCTGGCAGCGGCCTCGATCCTCACTTCAACAGCTTTCAATGTATTCCGCGCCCATGTGTTTGCTCCTTGTCCATGAAGGTGCCGGTCCTTATACTTGAGGATTGCAGTCTGAGCACGTAAGTTTGAATGTAGAGATCGGAGTGCATTGTGAGCTTGACCATACCGCAGCTTCCATTTGATGACTTGGAGATGGGTGTCACAATGCACGGTCCCACTGATATGGGATGGCAGCCAGAGCTTGATTGCTTCTGGTGCAGTGGGCCCATTGTTAGATACTGAGCCCTCGCTCACACGTAGTGCAGTGAGAAACGGCATATATAACTCCTGCATCTTCACCCATGCATCAATCCTCTGTCGGAGAGTGTTGCTTTGCTGAAGTATCTTTTCTTCTTGATTGTCCATCGCATGGACTCTGAGACCAGCTCTGTCTGCTTTCATTTGCCGTCTATCAAAGTAAGAACGAGGTCCAATAAGCAACGGTTGGGACACTCACTGATGCTCCTCGAGTTCTAAACCAGTACTGATAAATACACTTGGAGTGCAGTCCTTGTGTAGGGTAAGGTAAGTCCCTGTTTGAAGGTCAACCTGGTCCTCCCTAGCCAGCTCCAGTCATACAGAAGCCATAGTGATACCTGTGATATACGAAGGATTAAGATGAGCACATAAGTATTACCATCACGATCTTGTACTTACTTTCTGCCTTTCATTCAAACAGATTGGGCTGTGCAATGTCACACTCCCAAGCCTCCACCTGTTCTCTCCACTATTCAATGGTGGCACTGTATTCACCTCACAAGCCATCATCAAGGTCCTAGAATGCTTCACAATAGTTCTCTCACTCCAGTAACACATCCTTCATCTTGCAAAGCATAGTACTACCTGATAAAATGTAAATTAATGTATTATTTTGACAAAAATAGACCCACCAAGTCCAACTACTTTTTTCCAGTTTGAGTCTCCGAAGTAGTCGTCAAGGGTGTCTTACCAGGCACCAGGACCCATTTCTTTGGTACTTGAAGCAACAGGGTTAATGTTAGCCCAGACATGTTCTGGTGCTTCTCCGTTGGTCCTTCCTACCCCGCTCTTGAAATTAAATGAGAACGAGGTTTGGCACTGCTCGATATGAGCGGGTAGGTGGAACTTAGGCATGAAAAATGAGATGGTCTTGATGGCATGTGAGAGGTGCATTGACAATGGAAAGGCACTCATGCGGTTCCATAACTTTTTGTGCCACTGGCATGCAATATCATAGGATACGTTGAGAGTGTCAAGTACAGTATGACAAAGTGTTGAAAAGAATAAGTAATCCATGTTAATATATCTACATGCCCATGTTAGGTTGCCAGCTGCAGAAACCAAATAACAGCTTACCTTTCACCCTTTTAGAGATCCCCCACTGCATTGGGCCATTTCATGTTGTGCCAAGCACAGTTGACAGTGCCTAAACCAGTAACGGCAAGTCCACGGCTAGATTTTGTGTCAGCCATATTAACAGCACTGTGACTTGAACACGTTGATTTCTGCAAAAACAGCCATGAATATACAAAAAGGACAAATAAAATGAACTAACCTCTTGGATGCTGTCTGCGCTGCTACACAAGAAGCCTTTATAAGCTTCTTCCTCCACAAAATAACCCCAGCCCTGACTCAGGCTTGGGTCAATGTTGTCATTCAAGACAGCCTTGCATTTTAATCGGAAATTTGTGTCAATCATGAGGAATAGGCCATATAACCACCTAATAGTACTTATATTAGCAATAATTCCACTCTGGACTGAAGGCTGCTCTAAACTCACTGTTGAGGGGCATCTTTCCAATTAGCTGGCAGGTTCTTCCCTGGGTGTGGGCATGTGGGGCACAATATGGCACATTCACCTTCAGCCGTCCCACCTACACCACTGGGGTCAACCACTCATGAATCATTCATGTAAATGACTCGGATCGATCCTGTAAGGAAGCTGGAGTCACTTCAAAGAGACTTGAAAATATTAACTTATCTTGACAGGAAGTAGGCCAGTGTTGTTGGACATCTGCCTGAGCGCGTGATAAAATTTGTACATAGACACTTTTGACTCGAACAAGAGTATGTGGTACTGCTCGAGAACATGGAACGTTGCAGTGGTTTTTGGATCTGATGTTGTTGAAGGAAACCATGATATTCGAAGCAGCTGCTGCACATGGCTTTCGGCTATTGCACAATCACAGAAGTCAAGGGACACTTTGTGTATACCGTGGGTGTCGATAATGACAAAGTCATCTTTGAAGGCGCGATGAGGATTAAGACATCTTTCGTCAGTGGTGTGGCCAAGCTGGATGTGAAGGCCCAGGGTTTTCAGTGATATTTTCTCGAAGTATTGACCATTCCACTTCTGCAATGATATTAGATTAGTTTTATGTCCAATTCTCCCAATCACATATGAAAATGTACCTGCAAACAGTGAAGTGGGTGGCGCACATGGGCCAACAAGATACAACTTGAGCAATAGAGCTCTGACCCTAAGCAGTCATCACAGCGGTACTCCGGGCTGGGACAATTACATCCCAAGCAAGACTGAGTACCAGCTTGACTACATCCTCCTTTGAGACAGATCATTTCATGAAGGAATAAGTCTCGGTGCTTCCGCCACATCGACAAAGGATTGTCCTAAATAATCATGGTAAGGAACAAGTCAAAGGACTCAGAATATTGTAGTGTACATACACCTGCTGCTCGTTCTCTTGCTTGCTGGCTTAAAAAGTCTAATGATACTTCAAGCGGGAGATCGTCAAATGGCTCAGGAATCGAAAATGGCACATCATGCAGAGTCAGTGCAGTACGATCATTGATGGTTGCCTTGGCATTCTTGGGAGGTTGAAGACACTTCAACATATAGCTGATGGACCCATCTTTATGAACATCATATTGGGTATGTTGGCAAGAAGGCACCAAGGTGACTGGGCAGTAAAAATTGAGTTTGGGTTTTTTCTTCCATTTCTGCAAGTTCTTCAGTGCTGTGGATATTGCCAGAGTGCATACAATTGTCTGAATCGAAGATGTGCCGGCACAAGGAGGATCTGTAGACATTCGTCGTCATTGAGCACTGAGCCAAGCACAACCGACCAAACCCCAAATAGTGTCGCACATTTAGGGTTAGGGTTATCCTCATCGGAGTATCAGAGCATATGTGGCCACAGCATACAATTTTTTTTTCAACTAGGGTTTGGTGTTGCCGACTGTCACCTTGCTTGCTCTGAGTTGAACCTGGGAAATCCCAATAACATGATGTGTAGCCTGTTTGGACCCCCAGCTTTTAAAAGCTGGGGGTCCAAACAGGCTACACATCATGTGATCATGCAAGAGTGGTGAAAAATTATGTTTTCATTAAGTTACTCGAATAAACCGAATAATAACCAAGTAATAACAGGGTACCATGAATGCAAAGAAAATCAGTGCATTATTCTCAAAATGACTAGTACTTGGCATGCTCATAGTATGACATCTCCCATAACTAGTCCCAACCACAGACTGGGCAACACCCGCATAACTCTAAAGCTGATGAGATGTCAGCAAATGCTACCAAACGAAGTATAGTATCAAACCTACTAGTGTGTCACCTGCTTGCTGCAAGCCTATGTCTGATGGCACAATGAACCTTCTGTTCTTCCAGAACAAGTGACCAAACCGCAAAGAAGGTAGCAACATGATTGCCTGGTGTCTGGAGTTCAAATTTTACATCATGCCTATGGCAGGTGTTAAGTATAAAAAATGTTAATGAAACTGCAAAAACTCACCAAAGATATGCCGGAAACACTCTGATGTAGCGGCTCCGAGTAACACAATAAAAAGGGGGGCTTAGATTGAGCTGGGAAGGCATATTATAGAATATTCCTTGATATGAATATAAAAAGCACTCGTCTGCCATAGCATTTGCAGCCTCCTCAAACTCTATACTGCCCTCATACACAGTCACAAACTCCTCTGGTTCAGCCATGTAGGGTGTCGTAGTAATACTGAGCCAAAGAGGATTGGCAGATCGTGCATTGAGAGGTATCCTGGGAGCGGGGAAACAGAAAGGTGCTGTAGTTTTTGGATTAGCCTGAGAAGCCCCTCCATTGATAAAGTGAACTACTCACCCTGGGTCATGAGCATTGACATTTATGTCATATTAGTGGTGGTCAACGCATGAAGTTCTAGAGGAGACTGGTGTGTGCAGTGATTTTTGAGTTAGCCTTATGAACCGCCATTATTGATATAGCGGACCACTCACCCTGGATAACGAGGTGTTAACGTTGATGTTGTAGATACGCTAGCAGTGTCTAATAAACTTGATTAGACTTAAAATGGTGAGATTGCAGACAGCGAGTCACCGGACGCATCACCGATGCATCATCATAATTAGTGCAAGACATTGATATCAGGAGTAGTCTCCTTGACTGATAAGATTAGAGTACGCACAGTGAATGATGAAAATGTCTGCGCTGGAGTCAGCATTGATTGCACAGATTGAGGCATGAGGCAGGCATTGGAGATGGCTGTGTCATTGGAGATATGGGAGAGGGGAGTTGAGTATTATGCCTGTGGAGTGAAATGCTGGGAAGAGATGCAAGAATGCAGTCAGTGGAGGAGGCAGCCACAGCTGGATGAGATGATGTCAAAAAATCGGAAAGGGACGTCCTGAGGATTCCATATGTCGTGTATTGATTTTACAGCTTGATCTATTGGTGGATACAATAACAAAGTTCAGATTAGAGGCCAAACATGGCGGCTGGATTTTAAATGTACCGACTAAACCAGTTACATATTGTGATTTCTGGGAGTTGCAGGGCTGACATTCTTGCGGGTGAAATTGAGGATTTCACTGTTGTTCTGGCTCATTAACCTGCGAGATGTAGTATGTAGTGTCGAAGTTGATCACATGGATCATGTTGGCTCAGCATATCATCTAGATGGCATTGGCATGAGGTAGCATGTAGTGTTAGTCATATCAAATGGCCCAGTGTGAGAGATAAGCATGAGCCCTTTAAGGGAGCCCGTGTTCCAGTCTTGGTCGTTTGGGCTGAAAGCAAGGATGTTCCAGTTGGCATCAGATGCGATGCATGGAGTAAATTACAAAGTTGTAATAACAACACTAGCCACAACATTGATTTTGGGAGATTTATGTCTCAATGCTCCAATGATCAGTAGTTGGGTCTCACTGAAAATCAATCGTATACTCAGAGTATGTCTGTGGGGGTTCTAACTTGCGCGGTGGTCTGGGTACTAGTAATAGCTATACCTGATATCATTGCTCAAAGCTGAGTCCGAGTCTTAGATCTTAGCTATGAACTTGTGACTTTGGATTACACTGCCGTTTTAGGCTATGACATTTCAATCACTTCAACCGTCACGGTGCACATGTTGGAAGTACATAGTACTGATCACTCAATAACTCAATAACTACTGCTGCCTCACTCATGCGTTCACACACTGTGTTGGACTGGTACCAGTGTCTGCTAACTTCCAATGTCTGCCTGCAGGATGATTTAGCACTCTTTTCCTATGGCAGTGGTTGGTGGTAAGCACCATCTTTCAGCATTCCTTCTTTGAATGACATTTCCATTTCCTTTCAGTGTATGCCCCAATCAACAAAAGGTAAAGCCACTCCTCCATTCCCACCATCCATCCGAGCTTACTTTGATCAAACCAGATAGGTGTTGCGCTCCTTATTGCACTTTGCTTTGAACCAGTCAGTATGCATTTCCATTCACTCTTCTGTGCACATCATCTGAGCTCACTTTGATCAAACAAGGTCGGTGCTGCACTCCTTATTGCACTCTTCTCCGAACCAGTCAGAATGGATTTCATTTCAGTGTATGCCCTGGCCAACATGTTGCGCAAAGGTAAAGTGACTTTTCTATGGATGTCATCACCCAAGCTCATCTTGATCAAATCAGATCGCTGTTCATCAACTCGCTCCTTATTGCACTTCACTTTGATCTGATTTGTAACAAACAATTATCTGATCTGCCAGAGACACAGGGCGCAAGAAACACCAACTGGCACCAGTGCCACCATTTCCATTTTGATTGCCCTGTGATTGGGTCCAGTACTAGGTAAGTCATTGCTAGCCTCAAATTAGTTTGGTACCCTCATTGCATGAACCGATCCACCAAAGACACAAACTGGCCCCAGTACCACCATATTTGTTCTGATTGTCCTGCAATCGGATCCTGTAGTAAGTTATTGGTGTTTTTTCATTCACCAATATTGATTTACAACAAGCCCTGACCAGATGCCAATATAAGGACAGGCATAGACGTTAGTAAAGGGACACGCTCGTTTATCATCGCGCAAAGGAAAACAAAGGTATGCTGGCAACACTATTAACACAATGTATGACTGAAAATCCTATGACAGATGCCAGCAGCTCAGTGGACTACTAAGGGACAGTACAACTGGCTCCAAAAACAGTTGCTGGAGTATATTGCACTGCACAGCAAGGACAAGGACTATGCGCACTTCTGGGCCAAGACTCATCTTTATTGGTTTAAAAGATGGCCTGAGCAAGCTGCCCTCTTCCCTGATATCCCTGTTGAAATAACGCTAACAGAAGAGCAACAAGCTGCAGAACTTGCTGCCGAAAAGACACATAAAGTTATAAGTCCTCAAATGTTTTGACAAATTTTAACTGCTAAAGAAAAACCCTGGTAGTGATTGTGGACCTGGTTTCATTGGCAGACAAATGCATCCAAGAAAAATCACAGCTTAAAGAAGGAAATCTCCATCTTTGAAACCGCACTGCTACCGAAGTCGTGCACAAAATCTGTTGAAGAAATCTACATGGATATGGTCTACGATGAACAGATCAAACCTCTAGTCAAGGCTGAACAAGAGGCAGGCAACGCAGCTACAGCTGGTTGCCACATGGTGTTGGGCCAAAAGATTTCCAAAGAGCTCCTGGAAGATGAGTCAGATGAGGTCAAGAAGGAGGTGAAGGAGAAGTACAACAAGCAAAAAAAGGTAAAGAAGGACATGCTAGATGATGAGGCCAATGACAATGACGAAACCAATGCTGATGCCATTGTGAAGTAAATACCATGTAATGATTATGATTTTGATCGTACTCACATGGCTTATAGAGGAATCAATGATTTACCAATCATATGCCAGCACTTTGCACACCTCATCAAGAAAAATACTTGATTTATAGTTTCCTTCACTGTTACAAGAACATCTAGATGCTTGGGCCCCTACCATTTTTCTCCTAATCCTCCTTGTATCAGCCCTTGCATCACACCCTTACCCCGACCTTACCCTTGTCATCCTTGTCATCCTCGCATTCCCTTTTGCTCTCTACCTGTTGCTTCAGCAGAGCCAGTACATCTGGCCGGATCCTTTCGCTGACGAAGCATACCCATGCTCCATTCCACCACCTGACTGATCCTGTGGACAGTCCCCTTGCCCTTACTGTCCGGACGGTAACCTATGATATGATGCACGACGCATCCCCTTTGCCCTTTTCCCTTTTTCGATCTCTGACTCAGTGCGCAGTCGCACATGTTACTTATACTTAGATCCGTAGTTGCACGATCGTGCCCCTGCGCGTTTCACTTCTTGTTTTGACCTTTGACTCACTTTCTTATCTAGCACGTTCTGGTTCACCCGTGTCTCACCTCGAACGTGCCTTCCTTTTATGGTTATGCCCTTTACCGTTTACCTCACTTGGTAGTACGAGTTATCATCCACTAATACGCATCCTGTCCTCTATATAAACTCGCTACCATGTATCATATTCCCTAACTTGAATCTACTTGGTTCTTGACCTCCTACTCTCACCAGAGTGATCCTTCTGCCTAGCCAGCAGTCTATATTCTATCTTCTTATCTGCTCTTCGCGGATAAGCCTATAGTCTCGATCTTTGCTTATCGACTTCGTCAACAAGCAGAGCCCCTGTTAACTAGTCGGACTTCTGTCCTTCTAATCAATGACGATCTTACAATTAACCTTCGGGTGTCGTAAGCCTTGGCAGATACAGCTCATTGTCTAGCATCCGCTTGACGTAAGCTACCCGATTCGGACATAGGTGTCAAATCTTACTTGCCGAAGCTTCACCAAGTAAGACCCCTAACCTTGGGCTAGCCCAAGGACGTCCTCGACCGTTGACGACACACGCTCTGTTTGAGCGTCACCAACAGATACCATCCAACATTCACATGCACTGGACCGGACCCGAGGCAGAATTGGGATCTCGTTACTTTATTGTAAGTGCACCAAATCATAAATTTGACTACCAAGCTCACTTTACTAAGGTGCCATCCATTGGAAACCCCTGCAGGGAGTAATTTTTCTCAATTCCCTGACAAGGACAACACATTCCTTGCTGCATACCAGCAATATGCTGAATTGATATTCCATAAGCTAATCCTGTTACGACTTGGATGGTATCTGTTGGCGACGCTCAAACAGAGTGTGTGTCGTCAATGATCGAGGACGTCCTTGGGCTAGCCCAAGGTTAGGGGTCTTACTTGGCGACGCGTCGGCAAGTAAGATTTGACGCCTATGTCTGAATCGGGTAGCTTACGTCAAGCGGATGCTAGACAATAAGCTGTATCTGCCAAGGCTTACGACACCCGAAGGTTAATCGTAAGATCGTCATTGATTAGAAGGACAGAAGTCCAACTAGTTAACAGGGGCTTTACTTGTCAATGAAGTCGATGAGCAAAGATCGAGACTATAGGCTTATCCGCGAAGAGCAGACAAGAAGATAGAATATAGACTGCTGGCTAGGCAGAAGGATCACTCTGGTGAGAGTAGGAGGTCAAGAACCAAGTAGATTCAAGTTAAGGAATATGGTACATGGTAGCGAGTTTATATAGAGGATAGGAAGCGTATTAGTGGATGATAACTTGTACTACCAAGTGAGGTAAACGGTAAAGGACATAACCATAAGAGGAAGGCACGTTCGGGGTGAGACACGGGTGAACCAGAACGTGCTAGATAAGAAAGTGAGTCAAAGGTCAAAACAAGAAGTGAAACGCGCAGGGGCACGATCGTGCAACTACGGATCTAAGTATAAGTAACATGTGCGACTGCGCACTGAGTCAGAGATCGAAAAAGGGAAAAGGGCAAAGGGGATGCGTCGTGCATCATATCATAGGTTACCGTCCGGACAGTAAGGGCAAGGGGACTGTCCACAGGATCAGTCAGGTGGTGGAATGGAGCATGGGTATGCTTCGTCAGCGAAAGGATCCGGCCAGATGTACTGGCTCTGCTGAAGCAACAGGTAGAGAGCAAAAGGGAATGCGAGGATGACAAGGATGACAAGGGTGAGGTCGGGGTAAGGGTATGACGCGAGGGCTGATATGAGGAGGATTAGGAGAAAAATGGTAGGGGCCCAAGCGTCTAGATGTTCTTGTAACAAATCCTTGTTGTCCAAGTCATGATAGGCTCACTGTAAGACTCAACCATCAGCTCCAAACAAGCGTAACCCGTTGCTACCAGATGTCGAAGACGACAACGAGATTAAGGAGCTCGAAAGATGCAACAATGGTGAAGAACTCGAGGATGCAGAAGAACTTTCAGAGGATGGTGAAGAGAATGACGAAGGACAACATGGTGATTCCATCAACTGGGATAATACAGGTCTTCATATCATTTTGCAGCCACCTGATGCAAACTGATGCATCAATAACAGGCTTCACAAGTTCCTCAACCGGAATTAGTGATGCATCACCACTCGGTAAACTTAATCAATCCGCATTCTATTCCAAGGTAAGGACTTCTTGTTATTTTCCCTATTTAATCTAACACTTTCCAGACACAGGCACAATTTGATGCATCGCTCGGACAGGCCCACCCTGATGCATTGTTTGGACAGGCCCAACCTGATGCATCGCTCGAACATGCATGGCACAACATGGCCACCATGCCTTCCAATCCAATTAGTGTGCTGCAATCCAGTGTGCCTGGTACGATCAAGGCCCTTGGGTTGTCTTTTTCCCATGCTGATCTTATGGCAATGGGTTATTTTGGTAGCGATAACACCATGCAGAACTCATTTCCCCCTGCATTCGGCTCATCAGTGCCTTCATTCACTGACACCAGCAACACTATTGGGGGACACTATGACCAATATGACATGCACCCATGGAATCTCGCCAATTCTCATTCACAGGGGTGGGAGATGCGTAGCCTGTCCTCCTTCTTGAGCTCTCTAATCTCTGCTGAGCACAGCACCACGACCACAACTGAGCAGGATGAGGCCCTTCCTCAGTTCACTTGTCAATTGCCCATTCTTCCAGCAGCAAATGCTCCTTCTCCAATTGAGGGCACACAGGATCTTGCTAACACCACTGGTGCTGGTCTTGCTAAGTCAAAGCGCAAATTGAAGTCGAAGCCCCCAGCTACCAAAGTCAAATGCAATCCCACTATGGAGCCCACCCCCACCATCGCACCCACAAACACTGCAAAACCCAAGGCCAAACCAAAAGCAAGACCTGTTGTGAAGTCTGGGGTGATGATGGAGACCCACACTGCTGTGGATGAAGGCAATACCTTGGTTCACTCGACTGCCCTCAATACTACCACCGTGAAACAGAATCCTGTAGCTCAATGTGCATCAAAACAAATTCCAATCAAATCCAAGCAGAATGATGTTGCTGACGCCATTGGGTCAGATGGTCTGACATTCGTTGGCATTGGTAAGGAAAACCCATCTGTTTTGGAGGATGTTGGGGCAACACCCAAGTTGACAAAGTGTCCCACTAACTCGACCATGGAGGGCGTGATTCCTGCAAAGTACGTCTGAGAATATCTTCCTCACTTGCTCAATGCTAACATACACAGGAAAAGGCGAATGAAGGCATAAGCCTATGTCTTCATATGACATGATCAAAACTTTGCTTCTCTACTTACATAATCATTTCACTCTCGTATCATAGTAAATTTGACACTAAGTAGTACATGTAGTCTCTGTGTGGGTGATGAATGGATATAGTTGTGTCGTGTCGTCATTTACAGCTCTTTCAAGTTTCATAAAGGATGGCAGTGGCGTGAAATTTTCGTTCAATAGGAAGTGTTAGACTTGGTAAAATTTTACTTGCACAGTGTAGCTTAAGGACACGCTGTACCAATGCCTAAGTATATGGAGTGCTTAACACTTGCAAAATTCACTGGAGGTGGAATACTATTTTGAGCTATGAGATACAAGGCATACATACTACAGTGATCCCCGAAGTTCAAGGGTGCAAACTAATATCTATGTGTTGCTGATGTTTTTTGTGACAGGAAAGAAATCAGTTAGATTGGTCACTGTAAGCTGATTTGTACAAAGGTGCTACCCAAAACACTGTTTCAAAACTGTGCAAGTGTCCAGGGTGAGCCATGAGGGTGGTATGGGACACAGCAACTCGTGGAATGTGATTTTAGTTAGAAATAACTGTGAATCAAAAACAGATGCATCGAGTATGGTTTATGGAAGAATGATCCATGTCGAAAACAATTTTCAATGTAGAGATTTCAGTTTTTTTCAAATGAGATGCTTGTTGTTGCTGAAGGGGAGTGGAGGGCAGGTGTGACAAAATGAGAGTGGAGTCGAGCTGTAGAGAACTTGCGAGTAGTACATACAAACTTTCGTAGAATATAACATATGTCACATATGTTGGCTCCAGTCAGTGCACCAGGAAAACATCAAATGCAGCTGCGGGCCTGCAAGAGGGATTCGAGCACAGTGTATGGTGGTGAGCAGGTGGAGGGTGGGATGTGGACCTGTACTGGGGGCATTGTATGACCATGGGACGCCGATTCCCAATTTTCAATCGGATGCATTACTGAGCCCGCATCTGTGCATCAATCAGAGTGCATTACTGATGCATCACTGATGCATCACTCCAACCAAGAATATACTACAGTGCTTGATGCATCACTGCATCCCTACAACTGCAACGAATTCTTGCATCAAAATGACACTATGGCCTGCAGATTCGAAGACATGGACTTAGATAGTACATAAACCATTGTTAGAATTTTGGTCACTCAATACATGTTAGCAAGAGTTGGTATCAACATTTGCATAGTTTACAGCAACAGCAGGGCACAAAACAGAGCAAAATCGCAAAACGGCAACTGAATGGCAACAGTGGGCACAGGACAATGCGCAATGGGAGATGGCATGCGAGAACATGAGGGCACAAGAAGGCAAGGGCATGACAAGGCAGGGGTGGGTGGGAATCGTGGGATGCATCAGAAAGACGGAGGGGATGCAGCAGGTAGACAGAGGGGAGATGCATCACAAAGTGGAGGGGATGCATCAGAAAGCAGAGGTGGGCAAAGGGTGGTACAATTGCACCAATGATGCATCCCTGGAGTGCTACAGTTGCACTGTTTGATGCATCAAAATGACATGAACCTGTGATGCTGCATTGACAAGTGGATGACTGGAGTAAAGGAGGACATCAATTTTTTGTCGCTTGCTTACTCCCCAGTCTACCTTCTCCATCTCAACTCCCTGCAGCGGTTTGACGAGCAGACTGCTGCTTACAAACTGCCCGGTAAAATTGGTGTCAATCTTCTTGATGTTGCTTGGTATTTTTTTTATTACTTATGTCGTTCATCATCCAAACTGACATTCATACAAAGGATGCATGCTGGTATGGATCCATTCATGGCAGCAGTGACTATCGATAGCTTCACAGATGACGTTTTTGATGAAGCTATTCGAGAGCACAAAGACAAGGCTCAAGAAGCACAAGAATTCTGAAGGGTGGTGGTGATTGAGGTGGCTGTATCTCAAGGATTGTATACATGCTCACGTGCTATAGCACCTTAATTGATTCAACTTTGTTGATTTCTGGTCAGCAGCCTGATCTATATTGTGGGAGCTACAGTAGCAGTGTGTAGCTACCTGTAGCTACCTGTAGCTCAAACAAGCAAATACTAGTGATGCGGAGGAACCGGACCTTTCATGGACTGGACCATGGTCCAGTTCAACGTTCAGAGTATAGGCTGAACTGGACCAATGGTCCAGTCCAGCATTCAGCATTCCTTGAACGCATTGAATGGGTCCGAACCTTTTTGAACTGCTTCCATTTTAGGCTACTCACACATACGAGATGACATCACCCACACACGCAATACACTGAACATGACATGATTACTCGCGACTTTTTCACTTGGAATCCGATTTGCAAGGACCATGCCACACTGGCAAGGTCCGTGAAGGTTTATTTGCCTACCACTAACCAAAACATCACAAAGGAAGCACCTGATAAGGTATGGAGACTTTGGTTAATTTGCTTTAGTGCTAATGTATTTGTTAATGGGTTGTTTTTTTTCTAGGGTAGCTACATGAATTGTTCGGCACTCATGAACTCAATGGAAGTTAAAATGGATCAAATTCGAGGTAAGCTCAACTCTCTTCAAGCTTTCCCCCTCACAACATGACTGACCAGTGTGGTCTGGGTGCAGATGGTACTCTCCTCGACGCCAGTCAAATCCAATGGTACAATGATCCCAATGATGATACTCCACTGCCTGTGCTTCCCGCTCAGGCACGTTGCTCGACTCATATCCCATGCCCTGCACCCAAGCTTGTTGACCCCAACAACACTGTCTTGCACAAACGCAAGGCTAGCAGGTCAGTGGTCACGAGTGAGGGCTCTGAGGAGGAAAATGAAGGAGACCAGGATAACAGGGTAACTACAGATGAGTCTTGCCTTGCATTAATTTCACTCGGCCTTGCTTCACAGTAGTGTACCAGTACTCCTTACTACTAGCTATAGTACAATCGAGTATATTTACAATGTGTTCGATGTTCGAACGCTGAACCGGACGTGAACCGGACGCCATGAACCCGTTCATGGCATCCAGTTCAGCGTTCGCAAAATTTGTTGCTGAACCGGACCAAACCGGACTTCCGCAACACTAGCAAATACTAAGACTATTCCTATAGCACCCTGTAGTAATTTGTAGCACATATAGCATTCTGTAGTACTATATAGTTCGCAGTGCGGCTATATAGCTCCACATAGTAGACACTTGACAAATCTGGCTACAGGTACTATAATGACTATATAGCACCCTGTAGTTAAAGGTTTTTTTCCTGATGCACGCTCCGAAAATACACAGATGCTGGCCGACAGATTTGCATCGCAATTGACGTGAGGGCATCCGGAGATAACCCGATGAGCAGCCGTCCGTGATAGGAAGCACAAGGGCACCTTGCCCGCGGTACAGATGGAAGATTCAAAACTATCAGTGGAATCAGTTCAAGTATTTGGCGATGGACAGACACGTTCGTTGATGTGGGCTCGGATTGACCTGAGGCGATGCACCAAATGCCCTAATACTGGGTGCGTGTGTGGTCCTAAAACGGGACGAAACGAAGTACTATATAGTCCACGATGAATCTGAGATTAAGTTAGTCGAGCAAATGCACTCAAATTGGAAATTACTCTCATCCATGCTCGGCGAGTCCTGCAAGGGCAGCTGCACATTGCCTGTCCTCTGCTACGCTTGTCAGAAAGCAGCAGCAGCAACACACAACCCGGCTCCATTTTCGCTACCAAAGAAATATCCTCGAGACCAGCTTACTATTAAGGAGCCGAGAAGCAACTTGAACCTGGGGAAAGGTACGTACACTGCCACTGTCACTTGCGGCGGCAAAGCTTCGTGCACGCGACAACATATTTTTAGAACAAATTGACCGTTGTGTACTGAAATCTGAATGGTGTCAAAATAATGTGATTTGACGACATCAATGCACGTGCCAGCGGCGGCGACTCTGTATGAGTTCGGCCAGTGGGATTCTCGCAAGTCGAAACGTCCGTACGGCGTAACAAGACTCAGAACAACAGCTGACATGCATGTTCACTCGTCAATCGGGCGTCTTTTTAAACAGGTAATAACCCCTGTCTACTACTACCGGTAATTGTCTTGGGACCTGAGTTTCCGCGTCAATGTTCGATTGGTCAATGGTCTCAAAAAGCCAACATCTTGACATGCACGAGAGGTCTTCAACAAAATTTAAGATTCAAATACATAGATAAAGCGCATGAGAAATTCTACAATTATCCACTCTTGCGAAATACATAATAAACAAGCAAAACCAAATGAAGTAATTGGTTTGAACGAAGATACTATAAAAGCAGAGTGAACATTTAGATGCAGGCCTCACGGAACAGATATTTAGGCGCACCGTTGTCGCATTCCTCAATTAAGCATGGGTGAGTGAGTAACGTCCGGTGTTCGGGTCCCGCGCGAGGTTCCAAGTCGTGTTCTGAGCAAGCCCAGTGAGGTCCTGCGTCCAGATCGCAGGAGTGTCGACTTGGCCTCGTAAGATCGCGGTCTCTTCATAGTCGGCCGTAATGTAGGCACGCAGGACCGGAGTGTACTTCGCTGTGACGCGACTGCCATCTCTGCGTTGCATATTGTGAACGTCCCGAACAAGAAATACAAGAAAGATAACATACCCAACATCGCTGAAGTAGAGCACGGGGGTGGGCATGAAATCTCCTTTGTTTACAAAGCCTGGAAATGGACAATAAACTCAAGTGAAAAAAGAGGAGACGATGACGGTCACAAACCGACTGCGATTTCTTGAATAGCACCAGTGTGGTTCTGGGCCTGCAGGATACCAGCGGTCCCCGTCTCAGGGGGCTACACGAGATATTCGTTGGTGGTCGAGATAAATGTCGACAAAAGTCAGACTTACAGAGAAATGATAGACCTCGTTGGCCTCAGTCAGGACTGTCTTCTGGTTGATCTGCATCATGACTTGCATTGGTGCTAGCAATTCAATAAGTGAAAGAGGGTCGCTCACATTAATATTGACGGAGGTTGCAGCGCCGATGACCTTCCCGGCATCGACCTGGGCTTTGGAGAAAGCGAGTCTGTACAATATATAAGCGACTTTCAAGACCATCGTTCTGGTCGATCATCTTACTGGGCCGTGTAGGTCGCGGTAGCCCTGTATGGACCTGGAAACAGGGATCATGTGTAAGTTAGCGATTTGGCAGCAAAAGATAGGAAGACGCACCCTCCTTCCCGAATTTGGTGACCCTGAAAAAATCACAAGGTTTAAAATCGCCCCCAGTCGAAGTAGGCACACTTACTTCCAAACTATCGGGAAGACGTCCTCGTAGAGGCCATCCAGGTTAGGGCTCCAAGCGAGCATGAGAGTGACCTCCTTTCCGAGGTTGTTGCTGCGAAATGACGAGTCGGTTGAAGAATTGGTGAAAACGAGATCGCAGACACTCACGACTGGAAGGTCAAATTCCTGATGAAGGGACGGGGTGCCATTGTTTCGGATTGTTAAACACGAAGTGTAGTGCTGGTAGTTGAGATGAAGTGTGAATTGAAGAGCTTGAATTCTGAAGTTAGAGTCTCAGCAAGCAGGTTTTTATATGTTTCGGATGGCATGGTATGTTGCACCTCCTTTCTTGTTTTGCGACTCAGCCAGCGTCTCCTTCGTGCGCCGGTACCTGGCGCTGAAGATCCTAATTATTCGACAAGGTGATAGCACATGGTAGCCCTTGATTTACTAGACAGCCGGCTTCTCCACGAACCGACTCCCCTGGGCGTTCAATTTGGTGCTGGGAAGTTCGTAGCTGTGGTCGGCTGTCCCTCGTACCTTCAGTTTGTATTCCTTTCATAACGTCGCCGTGACAGGTGGATAGGGATTAGCGCCGGGTACCAAATACTGGGATCTGGTCTGCCTGCTCAGGTAGATGACATTGTAATCGAAATAGTGAGCCTATACTTGTCAGAAGTTGGATCAACGGGAGCACATGGGCCATGGTACATTTTGCACACGCAACTGCTATAAGTTTTTGCTATAGTAGTCAGTGACCCTGTCGGCCCGAGTTGAGTCCGGGGTGAATCAACTGTCAAAGTCAAATGTCAGTCAAACGAGCTGCAAAAGACACCCAACCTGCATAAACTTGGAACTAAACTTGAATCTGCCGAGTTGCAGTGTCTGTCGTTCAGAATGTTCAAGGCACTCGGCCTGCACAGCTGGTCCTAGAATAACATCGCATCAGCAGGCAAATTTAAATGGCCTTCATCCGAGTCAGCAAAAAGCGTTGAAGACATATGGCGTTATATTTGGTAACTTACATAATGCTTTGTGTCCAACTTGACAAAACAAGTTTTCAAGTTCTGGTCAAAGTATATGCCGCCGACTGGCCCGACTCGTCTCGTGTAATCTCCAGAGTGAGTCCGCCCTTCCACACTCGATCCAGTGGTTTGGAATGAAGGAAGGTTTATTTTGCCTTGTCATTGACATCTTGCTGTCTGCCGAAATGTGTTCTTGTTCGAGAATCGAGCGTCAAAATTTGAAGTAAAATATCCCTAATCTTCCCATGGGCCGCCGCCGTATCAGCGGTAGGGCAAAACTCCGACACTGCCAATGTGTGAATACCTCGACGTGCTCTTATCACCGCGGCTGATTCTGTTTGCAACAGTTTTATGAAAGCATTGGCAATGGGCCCGAGCGCTTCTGCAGTGACATGTGTAGTGGCACCAACTCTTACGAAAGGTTAGAATATAAAATTGTCGCTTTTAAAAAAATTTCAAAGTCATCTACACGATGCCTAGGATGTTCAACCATACGTCTTCGTCCCTCGCCTGCTGTTGGTGCCCCAAAACTACCGAGTTTGGCGCACAATACTCGGGGGAAATGCATAAGGGAGGCGAGGGCTTGGAGGGTCTTAACAGCGTAAGGTAGCTTTATTTACATTGTTCCTAAGCAGGCACCTCCTGACGCAGCCCATCAGTGAACCGGTATTCGGCATCCCTCCGGTTAAAGCACGACGGGCGTCTTGCAGCTTGTTTGACTGAACTTTGACTTTGACAGTTCATTCACCCCAGACTCAACTCCGGCCGGCGGAGCCAGGACTATGGGCAAAAGGATATTGCAATCACGCGTTGCAAAATGCGTCCTGGCCCATGGGCTTCTCGTGACTGAACACTCTGCAAGTCTAGTCCCACCCTGTTTCGACCCAATGACATCTACCTTAGCGGGCAGATCAAATCCCAGCGCTTGGCACTCGGTACTTTGGACCAACAGCTGGGGGATTTGCCCTGACTGTCCGGGGGTCAAGGCTAACAGCAACGAGTGCTCGTCGTATTAAAAAGCCTGCAATGTACGCTGTTTTCTCCAGATCATCCTCTTTACGATCAGGTTAGATATCAGCCTTGCATATCATCATTGTCTGACATGACCCCCACAGAAACAACGTGTCTTACACAATTGCAGTCAGTCATCGACGCCACCAACAACAATTCCAATTTCACGCTCGCTGAGAAAAATGTGTGGCATAACGGGAGGTGGTCCAACACAGACTCGATCCAGACACTCACCATGGGCGGAAGTGGTACGTCTGGTGGGCTCCGCTTCATAAGCGGTACCGGGGAGGAGTTCCTTGTTGTGCTAGGCATCCACAACTACAAGAGGTGGTGCTACATCAACACTGACCTCGCACCTCCAGCCACGGCAACAAATATCCACCCCGAGTACTACACGGACGGCAACGCTCGGAACAGGTTGCTGTGGGATCAACGGTCTGAGATCCAGGAGACCAGTGCAAGGGGAACCAAGGTGGATGTGAAGTATGTCCACGAGGCGGCCGACAGCAAGTCCTTCGTCGTTCACATCACCATTTCTTGAATATCTTGAAGTTGTGCACACCGCTCTCGTACCAAAGCAGTTGTTGAAACATGGCGTACTTGCCTCTGATAGATTTTCTCTTCCCAGAGGCGATATAAATGCATTACACATCTTGTCAGCAAAAACACTCACCATCGATTGTTCCTGCAGTAAGAAATCGATAGATACAAACTGGCTGTTTCTGCCCGTCGCTATGATATCTAATAAGTGCAAGATGTTTTTGATGATTTTCTTATTCACCGATGAATGCACGCCATGGACTGAAGGTCATGACTTGAATGGAAAATCACATTTAGCGCCATCGTATCTTTACATATGCCACACCTCGGGTTCCAATCGGAATCTATCAAACATAATCTTGACGCGCCGATAAGGTTGATCCGATCAATACCATCCACTCACATCGTATGACGAGGTCGAATGCATTATCATTCGTCGCGAAAAAATATGAGATGCTGGGCCTGTCTCACTCATACGCGTGTTTATCAGGACGCCCCCGCTCTTCGACCAGCCTGTGGGTCTTTATACAGCTGCAATTCGTTGTGGATGGGAAGAAGAGGCCAAACATGCATCCGCTGTGTCGCTCGCTCTCAGCATCTAGGCGCCAGGCACCGGAACGTCAACCCACGCTCCGAAAATACACAGACGCTGGCCGACATGATAGATTTGCATCGCAATTGACGTGAGGGCATCCGGAGATAACCCGATGAGCAGCCGTTCGTGATAGGAAGCACGAGGGCATCTTGCCCGCGGTACAGATGCGAAGATTCAAAACTATCAGCTCAAGTATTTGGCGATGGATGTACAACTTGGAGACACATTCGTTGATGTGGGATTGGCCGACTCGGATTGACCTGAGGCGATGCACCAAGTGCCCTAATACTGGGTGCGTGTGTGTGGTCCTAAAACGAGACGAAACGAAGTACTATAGTCCACGATGATGAATTCTGAGATTAAGTTAGTCGAGCAAATGCACTCAAATTGGAAATTACTCCCATCCATCCTCGACGAGTCCTGCAAGGGCAGCTGCACATTGCCTGTCCCCTGTCCTCTGCTACTACGCTTGTCAAAAAGCAGCAGGAGCAGTAACACACAACCCGGCTCCATTTTCGCTACCAAAGAATCTCCTCGAGACCAACTTACTATTAAGGAGCCGAGAAGCAAAACCTGGGGAAAGGTACGTACACTGCCACTGTCACTTGCGGCGGCAAAACTTCGTGCACGCGACAACATATTTTTAGAACAAATTGACCGTTGTGTACTGAGATCTGAATGGTGTCAAAATAATGTGATTTGACGACATCAACGCACGTGCCAGCGGCGGCGACTCTGTATGAGTTCGGCCAGTGGGATTCTCGCAAGTCGAAACGTCCGTACTGCGTAACAAGACTCAGAACAACAGCTGGATGATGTCAGGATACTAGGCAAAGACCAGCCGGAATTCGAATAGCGTATTAACCTATACATTCTTTGTCGTAATTAACAACGAGAGGTGGGAGCGTGTGCTACTCTGATGAATGATAGTAGAGTTGAAAGATGATAGATGATAGCAGGTACACTTGCGGGGAATGAAGAAACAAAATGTATGTACGTGAATGCAACTCCAAGCTGGATGGTGGGTATAGAAAAAGATGGTGGATATACGATAATTTGGTGAGTATAGTTCACTTTCTGTTGCGAGATTTAGAAACGCGAGGTTGTGGGGGCGATGGTAGACTGGCACCAAGGCCATGAACGGGAACATAATCCGGATCAATTTGATCGCACTTGAGATGCATTAGAAGATTATAGACGAACACTTGTTCGTACCTGGAAAGGCATCAATATAGATCGACAAGAACATCATCGAAACGCGCACTGAGCATTTGTGAACACGACGGTCATAGATTCCGAATTACACCTCAGTAAGTTCGGCGCCATCACCAGTGCCAGATTCGCAGACGTCATCTTCGTCGCCGTCTGTACCTTGTCCTCCAAAAAGAACTGCAAGAAGCTGATCAGGAAAATAACGACCCGTCTGTTTATCGTGGGAAGACGTCTAACGAGCTGTATGCACGTTTCAGGTTCGCGAGAATGTGTGATGCAGTCGTTGTACATCTCTTCAGGCACTAGTGGGTCGCATAGCTCGCGCAACCAAAGCTTGAGCAACGAAGCCAGGACATGAGGATCATCAACGCTGTCAAGCGTATAATAGCCCCTATCAATGCGCAACTTCAGTTCCGACACGGAGTCGCTATCCCCAGGGACGCGAAATATGCCCTCCGCTTTCATACCCCCAAGAGCGAGAATGCCGTCTGCGAGGAACGGGAGAATGATGGGGATCTTCTCGTGTGGGTAGTTGCGCTCTTGCAGGCGCATCGTCGCGTCCAGCGATTCTCCGAATGTGGATGGATTAAAGGCGGCATCCGATGCCGTCTCGATCTCTGCCATCGTCGGAGGTTTTCCGCGTGGTCCTTTCTTCGAGATCGCAACTAGACGGCGGAGACAGTGCTTGGCTATCACGTCAACCCTGCCCTCTTGCTGAGCCGTCCGCTGTTGCATAAAGGAACGCAGGTACGTCTCAAAGTTCTTTGAGGGCGGGAAAGCAGTGAGGAGTACGCAGAGCATTTGCCAGCCTTTGAAAACGCTTTCTCTGAAACACTTGTGAGAGGGCTAGAGATCAGATGTGGATAAATGGCATACGGATTCGGATTCCCGTTCAGCTGCTTCATCAACTGGCAATATATCTCATCCCTCAGCTCTCCGTGAGCCAAACCTTCTCCAAGTAACCATCGCTCTTCCTCCAGTAAACCGACGGTACTTCCCGTAAGAGAGTGCACAGAGCCATTGTGAACGGGTATACCAGCAGATTTCTCACGTTCACGGTCACCCATGATGTGTTGGATGACTTTGAAGATCCGAACTGCATCGTTCTTGAGCGAGCGATTCAATGTAAGAAGTGGCGAGCTGAGGGGTGCCTAGATATATATCAGCTAGGCATCCACAAGGACTAGAGACAGGTACCAGCCTTTTGCCATGTCATCATTTGCGCAACGGGAACCTTGCGCCTGAAGATAAAGCCTGTACGATGTGTCGAGAAATATTGTCTTGCGTAGTCTGATTCGACGAATTGTTGGATGTCTGATGCGAGGTCATGAGGAAGTACAGGATATGTGCTGAGAGGAAGTATGAGACACTATAAATCCGTGCATATGGCGTACTTACCCGGATGCTAAAGTAGTAGTAGTAGTAGTAGGGGTAGGGTGAGTAGATTGCCTGGTGATTGGAATTGGTTTCCCTCCTGTGGGACTCTTAATGGCGCTCATGTTCTTGGTTGCCTCTGGACGTAGGCAATCAGCCGAGAAAAGTATCGGTTAGTGAAAAGGTGTACCTTTGTTGGGTACAGGACTACTTATAGTCTTACCGAGCACTGTGGGAGGGGTCGACATGCTACGTGCCATCCAAAAGCTGTTGCTCGCAGCCAGTTTTGGAGTCAGAGGAACCTCTCGTTTCTCAATCCCCTTCTCTTTGGGAGGATGGTTTATGCTCGGCCGTGGTTTATCCATGGCTAGTGGGGATGACGATGGTAGCCCGTGACCAATGTCAGAAGCAGCCCGTCGCTCAGATAATGACAGCATCTCCACAGCAGCGTTGAGACTTTGTGGGATGGGGGATCGGTGTGGTACATAAGAGGATGATTTGGCCCGCGATCGCGATGGTGAGGTGTCCTCGATATTTGAGGTTAGACGTTTGTCTTTCTCTTTATGGTGACTCGATCGTGCACTCCCGTTCGACGCGACCTTGGCAGGTGGGGTCGATAATGATTTTCGTGAGGAAGGTGTGGAAGGTTCCGTTGCGTATGGGGATGCGGGTATAGGGGGTAGATGATGTCCATTTGTCCATCCACGAGGGGTGCCTGGATGGCCATATTGGTCTGTGGTGAATGAGCGCCTTACGGTAGGAGGCTTCTTGGTCGGGCTAGCACCAGATGCTGACATCCTTCCTGGCGAACTCCGCATGGATGATAACGAGCGTCGGGGTAACGGGGGCTCTTCATTGGAGCGGAGTGACACATGACGTTCGTCTTTTATGCTTGCCTGTGATCGAGTCCGAGTTATACATGGAGACCGGCCTGGCGCGGATTCTTGTCCTTCAGAAGTTGTTTTGCGTATGCCAGTTCGCGACAGGCGACGACCTAGGGCGCTTTGCTGTAGAAAAAGGCATTAGCTACTTTTGAGAGATCAAATGAATATATCACTTGAATGATAGTCAGGGGAATGACAAAACCATCTGGACGTTCCCAGACTGTCTCCCCTGTCTTGGTTTGGTAATAGTATGGTATTCCGCCTCTGGAGTCATCACTGAGCTCCCACCACTCTCCCTCTGTACTCGGAGGCAAACTGCATAATCACAAGCCGTAAGAACAGAGCTCAATATTTGAAATTATGACATCACGCACACAAATGTACCAGCTGGTGGATCCCAGCTCACTTGTCCAGTCGCAGGGCACGCGAAGAATACAGTGCTAGTCTTGTAAAAGTGCGTTCTAAACATGAATCCATGTCGATGATCGAGACGAGATGAATACCTGCGGATCTACTAAAGTCACCCAAAAATTGGAACCCCATCTCGCATCTTCCGCATCTACACGGCAGAAACCTGCTGGACTGCTCACGGGCTCGCCATTGACATTTACTTGGGGTATGGCAGAAGTGTCCGTGGTATGTCCATTGGTCTTTAGGCCTAGATCGGTTGCAGGGGGTGCCTGTGACGCAGGGGCTGTCTGAGGGTCTGATGGCGGAGAAAATAGTTTCAAATCAGCGGTTGCCTCGTCCACAGCAACAGCCATGTTCAAGAATGGCGTCTCTTGACGATTTAAAAAAGTGGATGAGCTGAAGATTTCCCAGGCGCCAAGGTAACGATAATCCCGATGGACGTAAGGAGTCCGAGGACGACGACGAAAACTGTATGATTTATCGAATCAAAAGCTATGAGAGGACGATCAAAAAGCAGGAAATCGAAAGAGAGAAATTTGAAGGTAGACGGTTCCGACAACGTTCAACGTTTGGACTATCGCTTAAGGATAGTGACCCCTTGCAATTGCCTTGCAGGGCCGTAATCGATCCTCCCGAATTCGGAAAAGTATGTCAGACGGTCCATATACGCAAGTTCTGATTCACGTTACTGTAACTAACGTGAACCATCCTGTCAACAATTTTCATTTGGCCTGTACTTTCCTAGCGCGATTCCTTTGCTTTCTCTACAAATTTCGTCAGCGTAGCTATGTCCTCCTGATCACCCGCTATCGACTTTTCAATCCGCTCGTATACCCTCGCTAGACCCCGGTAGACGTCCCCCTCGCTTCCACCAACAAAGTCACCAATTTCTTCCATCTCTCCAATCCATCTGTACGCTTTCGGTAGCATGGGCGGTACGGTCTTCACCAGACGGTCCAACAAAATTGGCTGCGATATCTGTAGTTCTCTCATGAGAGCATCTGCGGTTGCAGGCGACGATGCATAAGCCGCTACCATATGTCAATCACCTGTTTCCTTCACAAGAAGATAACAATCACCTAGCACCATCGTGGCATACAATCCCGTCGTTCCCTTTGTTATTCCCTGTTGAACGTGTCTTTAGTAACGTACAACTTGTTCGCTTGCCCCTTCCACTCACAGCATACGACATCTTGAGTGCGCTAGCGTCTCCGACCCCCGCGTCCTTTCCTTTAAGGGGAGATACTTTCAAACCATACTTTGACAATGCAGTAAATTCATCCAAAATTTTCACATCTTCCGCTGATGCGTAGAATGTAGGATTCTGATCGCCTCTCGGGGGCCCTCCAATAATGCCAGCATCAACAAACTCGATGCCTGTCCCTGCAAATAACGCCGCGATACGTTTTACCGTTTCCGGGTTGACAGCATTGCAATTAACAAACGTCTGTGGGGAAGGTAATGAGCTCCCATGTTTTGCGGCGACTCCCTGTATCTTTCCGGCAAACGATACAGCATCTCTTGGGGGTAAGATACTCAGAATCCAGTCTGACTTGAGCACAAGCTCGTCGAGAGGGAGGTCAATCATCCCTGCATCTTGTGCTCGCTTTCGTGTGGCTTCAGAGCGGCCATCAAGGTTGGTGTAAACTGTACAGCCGAAGCTGGTCAGACGTTTCGCCACGGCAGCGCCCATGGCTCCAGCGGCGACTACTGCTAGACGCGGTACTGCGGAGGACATGATGGTTCAATGCAATATATCTCGTGAAGATACGGATAACAGCCGGCTCTATGTTTACAGTCAGCAATGGTTATTTCTGGAACAGGCTGAAGCAGACCCACTTATTTGTAGTTCAGGTAAGCAACTCATCTCGACGGATCTCCGTGCAATAGTTCGTGCATATGAGCTACCTCGAGCTACATCGCACGTTTTTAACGACGTCAATGCAGTCTGACGTGCATGCAAGATCAGGCGGTTGCTACCATCGTGTTGCCACCTTGGCTCTATAAGTACCTTAAGGTATTCATGGCTGCTGGACACGAGTGTGGCAAAATATTCTTAAAACCGCTTGATTGTTATCATCTGCTCTCGCGCTCAGGAACACATTTCTATTTCCTTAGTATTGCTTTGGCAGCACAATTGTGGGGGGATAACCCTCCATATCTATTGTCGGCCTAGTCTGCTCGAGCGGTCACAAGAAATGGGTAGAAGCTCTGACTGAACAACGGTTTAAACTATAGATAGTAGGGAAGTTCTATTACTTGCGCTATCTGTCATTGCACTTATTGCCCAAGACTGTTCCTGACTCAAACATCGTTGTAACACAGCATGTACCTAACCCCTGGACTTCTGAACTTTGTCGTCAGTTGTCGGATCCACTTTGCTTTCCTTTAGCGAAATGGATATTCATTTTCGTTGACAATTTTCAGTCGTAGAAGTTCGGGCCTACAATGTCAAATTCACACGCCTAATTATTGTTGGCAGTTAATAGAATCAACGTTAAAACTTAACTATTAACTTGAATGAGTACTATCATGATCAGTGAACTCACCACGGTCCCGTCCTCGTTGAATGAACCACCTGCATGCCTTGCATTTGAACGATATTTTCTCATCATCAGGTATGTACCGTGACTCTGGTCTGAACCAAGTGATGATCACATCTCCCTAGCCATTATCTGTGACGCACTAAATCAGGAGTAGAATCACGAGATCGCCCTCTGAAACCAAATGTCAGTTTGCTGAGCGGGCAAGGTGTCAGGCCTATCAGGACGGAGTCCGCCATCGCATGAAAAGTATTATCCTGTTTAGGATAATAGACTTCGGAAGTTATGGCCAGTTTTAGACGCTGCCGCCCGACACAATCGTATCAGCAGGTGCCCTCGCGACCTGAACAACCCAATGGACCAAGCTGAGAAAGACACGAAGCCCAAATTAGAGTTCCTGGCTCTTGCTGAGGAACTTCGCTCTTACATTCTGAGCTTCCTTCCTTGGCAAGATATTGTTCGTTGTACATTTGTGAGTGTCGATATTGAACCTCCTAAATTGATCTTAGTTGCTTGCTGGCAGGTATGCAAGGCCCTTCGCCAGACATGCATAATATCTTCCGAGCTCCAGTACATCATAGAACTCGGTGGCCAACGATTATTACCAGTCCCCATCGCGGATCTCCGCAACCACACTTCTGTTTCTCAGCGCTTACAACTCTTAAGGAACAAAGCCCACGCATGGTTCCAGTTTAACCTCCACGCTTGCTCTTTCCAAACATTATCTATACAAGAACAATTTTATGAAGTGAGGACATCTCTCGCTGACGGGCATTTCTGTTTATGGCACGAAAGTGAAGACTCGGAACACTGGGCCAAGATCATTCCAATACTTCCAAAGCCCTCACAGTCAACAGTCGAGCGATATTGGTCTCCAGCATCACTGTGTTCGGTTCCCAATGCATATATCGTCGATGTACATATGGACCCAACACAAAACCTGATCGCGATCGCGTACGCTGTCAGTCATGATATGACACAGGAGGGGAGATTCTACGTTGACCTTAGAGTCCTGGATGGAGATGGTATTCATCCCCAAGCTGCTGGGGAGACTGCTGCTTCTATCGGTGCTTATCGCACAAGACCGCCATGAGTTGTTCACAGTGACAGGAGCATCTGACGCTCAAGGGTTTGGGGAGGCATCTCGCCCTCCAGTGCTCCCCAGGGTTCGATGATCCACTCAGAACATCTCGGGTCATCTGGTGGTTGCAACTTTGGGACTGGCAACATTCGACAACGTCCAATGTGAGCTGGCATCGTCAGACCATCCTAGTCAAAAGACTTGAAAGCTGACAATTAATTTACGTAGAGCAACCTCAGTGATACAATGTCACACTTCCAATTCTCAATCGATTTTTTATTTGTTGGAAATAATAGGTTGCTGATGGTCAGCGATGTCTTGAAGCTTTATTCAATCGAGGATATGTCCCAGGAACCACAGTTGCTGGCATGTTACTCGTTGCCCTTTACAGTGATGGGTGAACACTCCTTACTGCCCATCGATGACATTGCGCATGGCTCACCGTTGCAGATGCAAGCCCAACAAACAATGTGGACTTCAGACATTGAACATCGACTGTTATGCTATGTCACGTCTCGTCTACGCTTCGTCTTCGTCATTTCCACCAGTATCTTCTTCGATCTCGACTCGGAGCGCGTTGGTGAAAAGGCAGTCACAATACCATGGCAAAGCTGGGGCCCTGCGAATACCCGTGTGTTTCCAGACTCCTGGAAAGTTTTAGTCAGCGGGAATCGAATTATACAGGTATTCCCTGCAGACGTTAGGTCCCGGTATAGATTGCATATGATGGATTTCAGTCCGTTGGCTGTTGAGCGCCGGCAGGGTCTAGGACGAGTGGTGACAGAGCCATCCGCAACAGAAGTCCATGAGTCGGGGAAGACGTTAATAACATCTCTGCATTATGTCGAGGTTGTGTCCGACAGAGTCTTCGATGCTGTCGAGTTAATCGGGATGTGGCTCGATAGGGACAGAATTTATTTAGCCAAGATGATGGATCCGCCGGACGACGACGTAGGTTCCTCCCACATGTCTGCCGTATTGATACTAATTTCATTCAGCCCGGGGATCTAAGAATAGACCAGCTTGAAGTCATCGAGATGTCAACCGTTGAATATTGACCTCTCATGATTGTGGTATAGGCATTTTATGCTGTATATAAATAATACTATTCGCAGGTTGTTGGTAGGAGCTAAGTACACATCGTATACAAAATGTTTAGAGTAACTCAGAAGCTGATTGCAGGAATCAGCATGAAATGTAAGTTTTCTGGTCTGGACTTAGCAATCCCATCTCCCTCGCCTTGATCTGTAATGCAAGGAATTGGGAGTAGAACCGTGCAGAAAAGAGATCGCCCTCTGCAAACCAAAGTCCATCGTCTGAAACAGAACGTCAACATCACCAAGTAGCGCAATCTAATCAGCAGAATACTGACGTCCAGTTGGCCTCCAGATACCTGCGAGTTCATTGTTACTATCCCATCCTCGAATGTCATGGACGGCATCAGCAACCTGAGGCCCAAAAATCCTCTCGGTGACTTCTTTGATTGTAGTTTTCGAGTACCTGTAAATGATGTGTTAGAGGCACGCAATCAGACGGATAGATATCTGAAATATTGACCCAGTGGCGAAGATGACAAGGTCGGCCGCCACTCGCGAACCATCGTCGAAGACCAACCCGGAAGGGGAGAAGTGGGAAATCTCATGGCCGGACTTGACGGTAATCTGGTTGCTAGTAAGCAACATGTGTGGGGTAGAACTCAACAAATGTTATAATACCTTGCCAGACGTGATAAGCTTTGCACAACCCCGGTCGATGTAAAAGCCACCTGGATTTTCGGTGAGAAAGATAGAATGATAGATAATAAACAAACTCACCTCGTCGAACGGAGAGACGGTGCAAGAAGTTGTCCTCAGGGCCGGGAAGGAGATATCCATGCCGAGACAAGTTCTCCCTGAGGTCCCTAAGGGAAAAGGTGAGACGAAGAAATCATTTTTAAATCTTGTCAACGAACTGGTCGATATGGGCATGTGCCTCCATGACGTCGTACTGGGAATTTTGTAGAGTTGACAAGGGAAGAGCGACATAAAAGCGGTCGGCAATCTCTGTCTGAGGAATGTCCTGCCCGACATATCCTACGAGCCAAGTCAATAGAGATCTCCATAGAAATTGAACTGAAATTACCGGTAAGCAGACGGTTGATCGTCTGGCGACTCACAACGGCAGTCGGGGAACGCTGGACAAGCACTGTCTGAGACCCATGATTCGCCATGTCCTGAGCGATATCGTGCGCAGAGCATCCTGCACCGACAACGACAACTTTCCGCGCGCCGACACACGAGGAGAACTTGTACTCGCTTGAATGGATAATAGAACCGAAAAAAGAGCTCTGCACGCAGAGAGTCAGTGGTGTCGATAGAGAACTAAGTCCTGCTTACATACTTTTTCTGGAATCGAAGGCACAAACGGGAGTGCACCTCCCGTTGTACCAATGCCTGTTGCGCCAATCAGGTGCCGGGCTGTGACCGTAATAGAGGATTTCCCTGGAAGAGAGATAGATAATGTCCAGGTACTTGACGAAGCGTCGTATGAAGTAGAAGAGATGCGCGCCAAGGTCAACACGTGAAGACCAAGAGTCTTTTGGTAATTTTCAAGATAGTCAGCAACGTCTCTACAGGGGATATATTTTCCGCATCCCTCTGGGAATTTGACAAAGGGAAGATGATCTGCTGGCACATCAGCATAGGACAAAATTGGCAGTTCTTCGGCCGCACGTACTGTACGCTTTGGGAGTATTCGTCTCCAGTGATTCGTATCGAGAACGCCAACTATTACCAATTACGCCAGATCTCTCCAAGACGAGTGTAGAGATGCCGAGATTCTCCAAACGGGCGGCCACGGCTAAGCCGCACTGACCTGCACCCACCACGACTGCTGTGTACTCCATTATGGTTTTCCACTCAGCAGGACGGTCGTGACAGAGAGGCATATCCATACTAAAGCGATCGACCACGCCAGACAACCGATCCATCATGGTTACAAAGGACCAAGCCTTCCATGAAGAGTCTTCGCTTTGAGTCAGAGTGAAGACGCCAGTGCACTGCGCCATGACCGTATGGAATTGAATAATTCCCTGGATGAACATTTTTGTAGGACCCATACGCCGATGACGAACACCTGGCAGGAGTCGGAACTGACTTGGCTGCGCACGGGCAACGGGAACTGAGAAAAAATGCTGGATTTTTGGAAGTGCGTGCAAGGTGCAAAAATCAGGAGTGAATGCCAACAGATCACGCCAATAGCTATCGTTTGTAAACGAGCGCTCGAGAGTAAAACTGGGGTTGGAAAGGTCAGAAATCAATACAGCAAGCCACGCGGAGGAGATAGCATCTGATATATTGAACAATAAGTAACCTTGGACTGATTTTGAGAGGCAAGCTTACCTGCAGACAACGGAACAGCGAAGGTGTCTACGTCAGGCATATCTGCTGAATGATCAACTCGAAGGGATGATTATGAGGAGCTTCATCTCCATCGACAGAGTCTTTATAGATTTTGTGAAGCATAGTACTTCTCAGTGTATTGCGACTGAAAATGTGGATTTGCGCCAAAAGTGGAGGTGCGAGAGCCGGATCATCTCCTAGAAACACAGGTCGTAATTATTACGCCGCATCCTATTGAAAGACAAGCAGCAGTTGAAATTTAAAGTTGCGAGCGATGGATCTAAGCAACCGAAGCTCAGGGGTCAAGCAATGGTAAAGTCAAACAGGGTCGGACAAACAAGGCTGCGAATGATGGTAACATTGAAATGAATGATGTGACCATGTGACACTGCACTGTGGTCCTGGGGACGAATCTGTCAGGTTGTCCGAGTCGACCCCCACCACAAGCTACCCTGTGAATTTGCCGACACATTGGAGCAGCGCCGTATTTTTGGCCAACATTACTGTAGAAGAGCATGATCATGAATATTTAGCACCACACGACAGACATAGACAATATATGGCAGACCGATGATCATGATGGTGAGGTCAATGCCACACACTAAGGCTATTGGCTGCACCGAGCTGGTTAGCCTAGAACACTAGTTCCAAACTTGATTAATTGATTGAGTGCAAAAACGAACCACTTGCCTCTATAAAATTATGAAATTTGAAGTGAGCACGATACAGCATTAATCATACTCAAACTCTGTTTATCAGTGACGTTTGTCCCACAAGCAACATAGTTTGAACCTGAGGCCCGAGGAGTTTGTGAGGACTCATTGATCATCCCCAGTAAGAACCGGCCATCACCCATATCGACGTAACAATATTGGTGAGCTACGAATAATAAGATTTCTGTGGATGGCCATAGAGAATGGGACTCGTCCTAGCTACCGTGACGCTGATTCGATGGAGGTAGCACATAAGAGGTTTCAGTGGAAGATGCTGGCTCAGCAGTCACGACAAGTCACTCGTGACGTGTAAGCGGTCACATGAAATCTGAGCTCGCCCCTGGCAGTCAAAGGGCATTCGCATCCATATGCATTGCGACAACAAGTGAAGAACCGAATGATATGCCTGCTGCCCACTTGCTTCCTCTCCAGCTGTAGGCCCAATCTTCTCTTACACAATACAAGGGTCAAATTAAATTACCCAGCCTTAAGCGCTTAAGTCTTCAGGTTCGGAATCAACCGACTTCCATCAGCCCCATTCGTCCTCGCCCGTAATCTGACTTTGTCTAGACTCGTAGACTCTGATGCTCTGGCGCCAAATCGTTAATTTCGGGCATCCCACGAAGTTTAAAATTTTCCCGCTGGGTGTTGGGATCAATACTCGGAGTCTCTTTCGAGGTCATCGGGCTTCGCCGCGGCTGCCATCGTGATGGATTCATCCGCGATAACCCCCTCAACCCATCCACTTAGAACGGCTGCCTGACTTCACCACAAGTACATCTTTTGGGCAAGGCGCTTGTCAAATCTTTCGTACGTTCAATCAATTACGGAGTTTGAACTGAGAGCTATTCGCAGCTGTATACAACTTGAAATTTTTTGTATTGAGTTGTCCACTGCAATAAAAATCCCGAGATATCTACCCTAGATCTTGGAACTTTCTGAGTCGTTATACTACCATTGAATCCCAAAGATCTCAGCAAACAATGCGACACAGACTGTGGTACATATACACCATTGACAACCCTACGAGTCACGACAGTACACTAGCTCACGCCATGCCCTAATGATCCGCCACCACGGCTTCCAAGTCGTAAGCAAAATTTTAGAGTTAGAGAACATGAAGGGCCCATTCTGTGGTATAACCGCCATTCTGAACCTAAAACCAATTTAAATGGGATCGGCTGTCATGGTGTTCACTAGCTGGCTGCAAATGACCGATTGAGTCCTCTTCGGATTCTTGTCTTTTAGTTGTTGTTTTCGGTATCAGCCGTAGTGCTAAATGGATCTTTCCGTCCATGGGTCATTATGCATGATGTTGCGATTGTCGGGAAGGGTAGGAAAGGTTCACTGGCCGCATAAGTAGAAGGAACCAATAAGCCTGCGTGAAGCGTGACATCTTGCGGTATTACTTGCTTAATGCAACCTGTTTGACTCTGTTCTCTACCAGATATCAAATCTGTACTATAGGGCTTGTTCAACAGTAAGATTCGTGTATTCAGCGTTAGTGATCAAAGCTGGCTTACTAGTAAATTGTTGAAGTTTAGTTCGTTCTTTGAACGTATTACTTGGCAAGTTTGCATTGGAACATGTACACGTATTAGACGTGATTTAAGTCATTTGACACACCGCTTTCAGCGGGGTTTGTTGAACTCCTTGGTAGTACCTAGTACGGTACGCGGAATTGTAGTCCAGTGCTCGCGACGCGAGGAACACCAATACGTAACCGCTGTGGTGAATCTAACGTTGAATCGAATCAGAAATGTGAACTCGTGACATGAAGCTTTGGTATGCTCACATCACCGCGGGCGTCGCAGTCAGAGGCTTCAGAATTTCGAAGATACTGTGTGTGAATGAAATGAAAACAAATAGATGTGTCAAGATTTGCGCGAGCGGCCCTAGTGCACAGAGTCCATGACACTGGTTGTATGGCCCCTGCAAGAACTTCCGATGAAGTTTTCTTTATGATCAATCTCATTGCGGCAGCTAGTACCTGTTCACTGTGAAACTCATGAGATATCAATTGTAAAGTAGCGAAATTCAGGTCTTGTCATAGTGCGACTTGTCCATTGATCGCATGTTTGATGAGATACTGACCGCACAACCGAGTTGATGCCAGTGCACTCTGTTATGGGGGCCCGCCGAACTCCATGGAATTGTGATATTCAACTGTACCTCGGAAGTCAATTAAGATCTCCGATTGTCAATCCGGTTTGTGAGTTGTTACGCACATCAGATCGGACACAATCGCAGATTTCCTAGACCAATCCCAAAACATGTTTTAGTCTAATTCATGCACGAGATCATTGCCGTCATTCACTGGCCCTGCCAGTGGGGAAGGCTCGCCGTCGCACCATCTTCGTTGATACCACCTTCAGGGTCATGTATTAGCTACCTCACTCTATGACTGATCGGTGGAGGAGATAATAGCATCTACCGCGATGTAAAATTCATGCGAACGTCCCATATCAATTATCTATTAGCAGAATTCTTGTTCTATCGCCCAACGGACTGCCTCTGCGACATCCTCTGCTTGGTGAGTGGGCTGATGACTTGGAGGTCCACGATGGGGATCATATACACCTGTGTGAACTAGAATTGATTTCCATCCTGCAGCGTTGGCACCTGCTATATCGGATTCTGGGTTATCTGCGGTGACAATAAAATTGAGGGTTACATGGAGGAATAAATGAGAAATACGTACCGCCCACCATGTACCTGTGTAGCACGTTGTACGGTCGTCAGCTGACTGCGAGGGCGAACGTGGCACCAGATTACTATACGAACAGTGATGGTTTGGGTACACCCTCTAAGCGATGCTTGAGCATCATTTCGGCAAAATTGTACGTGGCCTCAGTTGGTTTGCCAAGTTGGATGTAGGGATATGTGGACCCTGTCAATGACTGCAAAAATGGCGCATCAGGTTGTTCTCTATGGGATTTAGCGGTGAATGACAAACTCGCCTGGAAAACGGCCTGGAATGCAACTCTAAATGCCCCTTGGCCCATACGAGGAGCCTTGAAATCCGATTGCCATATTAAATCAGGATTGCAAAATACTAAGTCAACAGGCTTTCGTGTATGATTGGTTTCATGAGATCCCCCAATGATACCCTGAATCACATCGCACATAACTTGGGTATCGAGAGCCCAATTTCTAGGATCATGGAAGACAAAGATTGCGCCAAATTGGATATTCGAGAAGTCGACAGGCTGTATGGTCGTGTTTGTGTCAGCCGTTCTCTTGAACAAGTGAAAATCTTACCCTGACGGACGCTCTTTCTTCTTCTGTGAGGCTGTGGAAAGGCCATATCCTAGGAAGATGAAATGAAAATCGGGTCAAACCTCATAGGGAAGCAAATTACTTACGATGGGTTCCAAGCAAGAATATCGAGAGTAGTATAGACTTTCTGGAAGCCGTATCTACAGTCGATTGAAATTCCATCAATAGGATTTAGAAGCAAGCTACAAGAGTCATGTACCCTTCCGCAACCTTCCGAAGGGTATCCCCCTTGCCTCCAAGGACCAAGACTGGCACGTTAACGTAGTTGTGTACAATAGACTTCAGAACGGTGTGAGCCTGTATAAATTGGTCAGGACGAATCTGTCCAACCTTGTCAGTAAATTGGAGGATTCAGGACAGCTTTGATATAGCACCTGTACGCCAAGCTGCGAGCTCAACTTGCGACACCGCTCCTCTTCGCTCGCACCACCGCCGTTGGTGAGCTGGCCGGCGACAATTGAATGCTTACATCACAAAAGGTCATAGTAATCATTTACCAGAATAAAAGGTATTTTGCTTTGAGTCAGTTAGTTGTATGACAAACAGCAGTAAAACACAAGTACAGGCCGAGTTTATTGTTGCCATCAAGGATCGATAATGCCTCTTTGGCAGCGGGCAGGGGATTCGTTCCACCACGAAGGAGAACACCATCCTGGGAAGAGTACAAGATACAGTAAGCCGTTGAACGGTCTCATGACATTGTGCCCAAACCATACGATGTCGAATGCGAACGCCAGCCGCGAGTGAGGCTTGGCCGTGCCATTATTTCCTAACCCTGTTTAAGAACGCGTGAACCATTATACCGAATTTTCAATTGACGATTGTGGTAGCCAGCGACTACTGCCAGCTCACCATTCATATAACGTGCAATCTGCTTGACCGTCACCCTGTTGCCATATTTTGAACCAATGTGTCGAGGAATCAACATGCCTGTGGCCTGGAAAACGTTGTAGGCAGCAGGAGCAAGTAGTGGCCAAATTTTAGAGTAACTATTCTTTCCAGGTCGTGAGCACAACTTGCACAAGCCTGTCCAAGCGTGGCACTGATTTTAAAAAGCGAAGTACTGATCGGCGGCTAATGGAGCTCACGTGACTGGGATACTAGAGGGTAACGTGTACAAGCCAGATAAAAGTTACTACATAGACGAAGGTTAACGCGTAACGACTAACCGGGAAACAAGCGGACGTGTTTTATATTATCGCAGCCCCATGCTTCCCTCACCAGTCTTATCCAACCGACGAGGAGCCTCCCAACACCTTCGCACATCCTCCTTGTCCAACTTTAGACGAACTCTGAGCCTCCTACGTGCACGATCAAGATTCACGAACCTAAGCTTCACCATTCTCGCAGGATGCTTCTGTGTTTCATTTTTATACAACCTCGCTTTCATATTCTCCCCTTTTTCGCCTACACTCGTAGCATACACACCTCCTCAAAGTATCCTCTCGACCATAGCTCGTAATGCAAGCCTAGAAAACCTTTCTCATCTTGTCATCGTTCCAGGTCACGCAATTTGGACTGGTACGCAGCCCGATCAGGCGTTAGATGCGGACCGGTGGACGTTAGAGGAATATCAGAGGGGAGGAGGTAGTTACAGGATTTCTGCGTTCGTAGAACACATCAGACGAGGGTATGTCTTCTCATCAAGTCACGAAACCACAAAGCTGATAGATTTCAGAGTAGAAATAACACTCAAAGATGATTCATCCCTACTCATTTTCAGCGGGTACGTACTCGACCCAGGAAACAAGTTCGTCTCACTAACCCTCCCTTCCAGTGGTCAAACTAGACTGCAGTCGACTACGACAGAAGCAGAATCTTACATGCGTTTGGCAACAAGTCTAGGGCTGTTCTACTCTGACTCAGAACAAACATCACACGAGCCACATTTCCCTCGTGCGACAACAGAGACCTACGCTCTTGATTCATACCAAAACTTCTTATTTTCGCTGGCTCGTTTTCACGAAATAACAGGACGGTATCCCTCAAAAATCACGATCGTTGGCTACGAAATGAAGCGCCGTCGTTTCGAAGAGCTTCACCGCACAGCCCTTCGATTCCCCGCTCATCATTTCGAATACATCGGAATCGACCCTTCCGCTAACGAGGAGTCTGCTCGTCTCGGCGAAGTAAGCGTCCTTGTCCTCTTCAGCGATTTTACACTGTGTTCAATTGGAATATAGGTTAAGAACGGATACGCTCCGTATAAGCTTGACTTGTATGGGTGCCATGATTTTTTGCTCGCTAAGCGGCGGGCGCGGAATCCCTTTTTACGATTCCATTCCTATCATGCATCGGCACCCGAATTGAGGGGTTTGTTAGAGTGGTGTCCTGATGATCCGAGTTTGGTGTATAATGGGCCATTACCTTGGGACGTTTATGAATGAGATGTCATTCTACAATTTTGAAGCTCGAGACACTGGGTCTATTTTGCGAGGATTGCTAATTAACTCGCGCGCGAAATTTTTGTTGGAGTCCATCACCATTAAGCGAATGCAGTTTACACTCAGGGGACGTCGTCCCTGCAATGCTGGACAACAATGATACTTCGATCCCTATTGAAATATTCGTTTCAAGCGGCTACGAGCTCAAGAACTTCAGTGATCAAAATGTGACTGCATCGCTTCTGCGGACTCAACCGCTCCTGGAGGATGGTAGGTGCTTTAAATTTCTCTGAACTGGAAACAGCTGCATGGATCAGCCCACGACAATTTTCAGCTAAGCTTGCAGGCTTCTCTCCTTGTCACGAGATACAACGATCACGATCAAACATCCAAGCTCATCAATTCATCACGCCCATAAAATCATACCCAATAAAATTACAAACAGGTATCAAAAAATGCAGATGTTACAATGTTAATGAAACACAATTAAGTTATCGCAAGCACCATACAGCAACAACAACAACAACAACAATAAAAACAATGACGACGACGACGGATAATACACATCAAAAATGCAAGAAAACCAAAACACGCAGAGAATACAACACAGCGTCTAATAAGTAAGCTCTGGCCATGAACGGAGGCCTGCCAGGCATATGCATAAGGAACGACGGGGCACCAAGTCCAAATCCAGCACAGAATACAGGCAACAAGGACACACCTACTTCCCCTGAAACCCCCTAACAATTGTTCGTATTCCCCCAAATCTCTGCTTCGCAGGCGACGAACCCGTCGTTATTGAAGCTGGCTGCCACCCCTCCAACGTCGAGAACCCCATCCGAGATAACTTATTCACGCTCCGTGTTGCTGGCGTTGATGATATTTCACGTGGTCCTGACGATGTACTCCGTGCTGCCGGCGATGCGTTGCGTGCTGCCGTTGGATTACGTTTAGATGGTGATAAGTTACGCGTCTTTGATGCGTCGTGCGTCGTTGCTGCGTTCCGCGTCGTGGGTAAGCGTCCAGCGTGAGTAGGAGCTGTCGAGATGCGTGAGAGCGGTATACCCAAGCCCACACCCAAACCAATACCCAAACCCGTCAGTTCTGCATCTTCATCTGCATATGTATCACATGAGTCAGGCGTACGCGACTGCTGTGGCGTGTACGTGAATGTCTCGAATGATTTCTGCGTGTGTGGGCTGGGGAGCGGCAGGGTATGTTGGAGGGGCAGGTGTCGTGATGCGACGGGAGGACTGCGTGTACGCCGAGTGTCAGAAGTTCGCGAGATGCCGGCAAAGGGTGAATCTGACATTGTCCGCCTGAAATCAATAGAAGCCGTTCGTCTGATTTCATCCGGTGCCATCAATTTACTGTGTTGCAGCGACGTGTCCTCACTGGATGCGCCTATATCATGTGTCAACACGTGAAAAAGAAAGAAGGAAATACAACGAACCACTCCTACTGCTACTCCTCGAAATATTCAACTCCACAGCCCGGGGTCTAGAGCTCGATAACAAGGAACTCTCACCCACACTCAAACTGTTCCGGATATGTGTCGTCCCCGCATCAACAACCATCACCCCCCTTCCAGCAGCATCCTCTTCCTCTTTCATCCTCCTCTCGATAGCCAGACTCTCCCCGAACATTGCCAACCTCAAGCTCAAAGGCGTTCGTCCAGTCCCTTCATCCCTCCTTGTATTCTCTTCCAAATCAACAGCCATATCAAGCACAGACTGCTGCGCCCGCTGAACGAGCGCTTCTACCTCTGCTCGTGAGGATATTGAGGGGATGTCATAACCTGAAGGCGTTCTGCGAACACGTGGGGATATAGGGAGTGCATCTATGCCCACGTGTATGTTGGTGTCTGTGTCCATGGAACGAGACACGATTAGGGGACTGGCGCCAGAGAAGTGGGGCGTTGGAGGCCATGGTGAGTCGCTTGCGCTAGATTGCGTGAATGTACTCGCAGTACCTGTTGTGCGCGAGCTGCTTACGGAGTCTCCACGCATGCGACTTTCAGAAGACAAGACACTATCGTCAGGAGGAGGTGGCACGTTGATGCTGAATGGGAACTGAGCGGGTACTGCTACTGTGCAGTCGGTGGTGAGCATGATATTCGGCGTGGATGCCGAGTGAACGATGGGTACGCCGTATTCTTCTTCATCTTCGAGGTCTTCGAGGTCGATGGCGTTGATAAGGATGGGAGGAGGGGACTGGGGGATTCGTGGAGATTCTTCGATTGTGTCTGGTATACGATCAGTATCCGGGGCACCTGCTGAGGAGCCCATGTTGAGGGTGCGCAAGCGGCTATCATGTAAAACGCTCCCACGTGAAGGTGGACTGCGCGCGCGGGCGGTGAAAGAGCTGGAGGAAGAGTTTTCAAAGCGAATGATACGGGACGAGGAGGGTTGCTGGGAGCCATGGCCTGAAATTGACCGTGTGTGCATGCGCAATATGCCCGGTCTCACAGGGGCTGTTAGCTCAGGCGATATTTCTTCGCCAAGTGTGGACGATGAACTGGTAGAACGATGCCATGGATTTGGATCGGGGGAAGCGCGCGTGGAATTAGTTTCTAGCCTACGGCGGTGGATGTCATGTGTGGGTGTCTCCTGCGGAGATGACGAAAGTTGTGTGGGGAAGAGGCGTGGGGAAGATATTATTGCCGCAGGTGATGCAGTCCCAGGGACAGGAACGGGCGATGAAGAAGAAGGGGAACTGATCGGGGGTTCTGAGACGGAGGTAACGCTTGACGAAGAAGCGTCTACATTTGATTTCTTGAACAGGCTGAGGAGTGACAACTTTGAGTTTAGTTTGCGGGGAATGGTAGCCTCGGCGCCTGTGCCTGCCGATCTCGGGCGACGTGATGCTTTTGGTGGTGAAGGGCGCTGGGGTTGTTCGTCGTAAATATGAGGGAGAGATGGGCGGCGACCAGATGAAGGCGAGCCTTGAGGTTGTAAGATGTCTTGTTCAGAGGAACCTGAGCGCACAATGTGTGGTTTTTGATCGATATCAGGGGTGGCACTTGCAGGCTTGAGTGCGGTGAGAGCGTGGTCAATAGAGCGTTTGAAATGGAGCTTCTTCCTGAAGGAAGACTCCACGTGCTCGATACAAGGATGGTGTCGTTCCCTAGAAGAATGACTGTCGCTATCAGGTGTATTTTCACCGCGTGCACGTGCAAGCATCTCGCTTGCGAGGATATCAGCGCACTCAATCCACCCGTTCTGACGGGCAATGATTTCAGGGGTGATACCGTGCTTATCTGGACGATTAGGATGGGCACCATGCATAAGAAGGGTGCGAACGACGCTTGCATGACCATTTGCAGCAGCGAAGTGAAGTGGGGTTGCACCAGAAGTACCAACTATAGGAGCGGCGGCAGAGTCACGGCTGCGATCAGAGTATCTGCGGGGAAGTCTGTGGAAAGTATTCATATATATGTGATCGGAATCATGGATGAATGACAAGGAATTACCTCGATGCATTGACGTCTGCTCCGTATTTGATGAGAAGATCGACTACGAGATCATTACCACCTGCACAAGCAGCGTGTAAAGGTAGAACGCCGTCTAAGACAGAGTTTACTGGTTGACCATGATTGAGAGCAAATTGAACTAGTCCGATGTCGCCTGATGCAGCAGCTGAATGAAGTCCCAGATGTGGGACTATTCTGTTGTCAGAAAAGCCATAAAATAAAAGTGAATAACTAAATGACATACATTCAGTAGCAACGTTAAACTTTGCCTCTGCTCTGTGGTTTCTGGAAGGGGCGAGCATGATACTATGCCTAGGCGATTACACGATTGAAGATAAAGGTACCATAGGATGAAATGGCTGTACTATTATACACTGGTGCGGTGTCGCTGGTGATGATGATGATCCTTGACAAAGGCAGGTCAAGTCAGCGCGGCGCAGGTCCGGCATCATTCAATTACCCAGCTTACAAAGCATCTAATAGTACGCAGCCAACCGCAAATATTCTCTCAGCCTGGGGCAACGGCCAGCCTGGCCTTGAATCAATACACAGCAATAATATGTGATACAGCCTATCTGCCGCATGATGCCACATCATCAGATGAAGTTCGTTGTTGTTTTTTCATCAAACGTAATGATGTTCATTCGGAGCTCTAACAATATTTCAAAAGTACTTGCCCGGGGGATCAACGAGGCTGCACGACTCGACACCCCAAGGTACGGAAACCCGCGCTACGATAACGCTTGCAGGGCCACTCAGCTACAGGAATTTACGACGGTAGCAAAGACGCCCATCGTCTTAAATTTACGCTATTTTGATTACGCCATGGACTTATGTGAGTTTGGAAACCCTTTGTACACGAGTCAGTAACGAATTCGACACTAGTAGTTAAGAGGTGCTAAGCAGAAGAATAGCTTTTCGAGACAGCGGGCGGCCGTGCGGCGTACACGTTGCTGCTTGTTTTTGTGCCACCTTCTTTCTCTGTTGCTTAGCTACATCGGTCCTTTGTCTGCCCCTGCCGGCTTGGTCTCAACTCCAACATCTGTCACCGAAACGAGTACCGTCAGGCATTGCCCGGAGTTATAGACCGCACAAAACTGGCAACCGAACACGTTGGTTCAACTTCGATGACTCCGTTATTGTATTTTCGGGTAACCCCCACAGCATCATGTGGTCCCTCAGATGAATGGAGGCGCTTTTATGCTCACCCGGATGCCGGTATTCATCCTACACACTTGTACCTCCATACCACTCTCACGGAACACTTGCGACACCGACACTGGTGTGTGGGGCTTTCCCAGTCCGCGACCTCTTGGGTATCGGAGATTCACTAGATGCGTGCACAACCCATATCTTTATTTAGACTCGCCCCTTGCAGTCCGAATGTGTTTTCGCCGAAACCTAACCTACATCATCTGGATACATGTTTCAGTTACAAATGTGATGGCTACGTAGCACTGATTACAAATGAGATACATTTGAGATCTTCATGAGTCGTTAATGAAAAAGCTCTGATGATGCAACAAGTCTCCATATACCTCGAAAAATATTTTCCAGAGGTATTTCTGCACGTCTTCTGCAGGAATGATCGCATTCCGCCCGGCCATATTACAAACACTTTCATCTGATCTGCTTCCACGAAGTAAGCCGAACATAGCATCTGATCAAGGAGATGCAACGGGCATCACCGATGCCAATGACGGCAGAACGACAATCAATGCGCCCGACGTCAGATGGCATCAGCGTTGGCATCGGCACGAACCCAAGCACGGGGCTTGAATAGACCAAAAAGCGTCATCTCAACAGGCTTTCCCTCCCACCTTCCACCTGGAGCATATCTGGTGTATCAAGCGCCCTGTGCCCAGCCTTCAAGTCAGGTACCCCGTATGCGTTATTCCTTGAATTTGCAAACTCGTCGAGAACGATATTTTTGAATCGGCATATAATAGCAAGCATGGAAAAGATGAATTTTCGTCAGATCGGTATGTCTCTTGTCGTTATTGTCTGTAACGTTAAGAATCGAAGTGGTCATCTCCAGGATCTCGGAGATTCGTTATTGTTTCAAGAAGAAGGCAAGTCCTTTTTCGACGAACGCAATTTTCCATCATAGATTGCTGTACGGCGCGCTCAGTTGCCTGTATTTGGCTGACTTAAAGCATATCGTAAACTTGAATTAGAATATTCGAAACGAGCAAGTATTACATACCACCGATCAAACCAGCCATCATTCATAAATAGACATACCGAGCCTTCCATTAGCACAGTACACGAGCCTAAATTAGGACCACATACCGCCTGCAATGGGCACTCGATCTCGCTAAACTCATTCACCATGCAGATACTGGCCCTAAAAAGACAGATTAAGATGCATTATCACGTACAGACAAAACGCACCGGAATTTTCCCGTTTGTTGAAGGTAACCTTGCGTAGGTGGTAACGACGCGATAAGGTCTAATAGGCTACAATCTCCTCGTTCTGAGCGATCTTCGTCAGGTCTAATCTAAGGCCGAAGATAAAAAATTGCCAACCACCCTCAGCAACTTCGTCGGTTGAACGCAAAAATATAATGTAGGTCAATGTAAATCTCCCAGCCTAATGATAGCTCACCAAAATTACGAATCAGTGCTGTTGCTTTCGAGACAGGATCAGGAGTTTCTTCCATCGGATAATGAGATAAAACGGACTTACCATTGACCCGTGCCCTTTGAAAGAATATCACTAGTAACAACCCAGACGTTGTCTCGAGTCTCACCCGAAAACATCAGCCCAAGCTGTTTACGCACGATGTCTGTGAACCTAAATATAGTCCCATCCTGATGTATTTAACACCCTCGTCAGATTGATCGAACTAGTGCAGTTCGGAGCCCATCTCGACGGAACAGGATAAGATCTACCAGCGGCTTCGCAGTACCGCATATAGGAGCTGTTAGCCTATGGTCGAGGGCTCACCAAGACCCAGTGGCCCAGCGCCTGCCTAAGAAGAGGAATTCAATTGAGATGCAAACAATCATCATAGACAAGTCACTTATGACTATCTCAGGTAGATGAATAAAATTCATATATAGCGCTCGTAGGAGCATGTGTTAGTTCGAATTTCAGGGGAATAGAATGGGCATCGATCATTATCATGTGGGGGTCAAGCTGAAAATATGTGTCATTCGATTGCGAATCGATATCAGCATACTGATAGAAATGGCTCAGTACACTTCCTGCGGATGATTATGATTTCTCAAAACACTCACCAATGTCGTTCAACTATCATATTGATATATCAGTACCCTTACGAAACTGGCTTACACTTCCCATATTTAACACAACGCTGACCAACGTGACAAAGATGATTGACTTTCCATCGGATGATGTGTCAAAGCGCTCGCCAGAACCTCATGACGTGAACTGGATGACTGGATGGCTTTGATGACCGCTGAGTGTCATAAGAATTATTTTGGGTTCTAAGAAAGATACACGTGTACACGGTGTACTTGCCAAGACTGGCCAAAATTTCGCGAACGCCCTCGGATTGGCCGTGACTCAACTCCAGTCTGAGTCCATTGACTCCATTCCGTCCGTCCAGAATTAAAGTGCACTTAGCAGAGCTACAAGCAACAACTGGACCTCTACAGCGTGCGTGACTCGCGAATCGCGAGGAAAGACGATCATCAACTTAAACTTGAAGTATCTTAGCATCTAAGAGAAAGATAGTGACACAAATTATGTGATGTACAAGGCTCCTACCTGAATATTGATACGAGCTGCGACCTCTCCGGGGATGACCGACCTGCTGCCATGTTGATGTATCCCATTATTGTATGGTAGAATCGCCTTCATCCTGGGGCGTGTACCGTCGGGCGTCCACTGTGTGAGTGAGAAGGTGTATGATCCGTTTTGGAGAGAGAACACGTTCCCTCGTGCCTGGATTATAAATGATATTCTAGAATGTTGTGATGCGGCAGAAAGTTCACAACAAGGCGAATATCGAAAATTCAGACCACCGTACTTGGTTCTCTTTGCCTCTGCCTGACTCTGCCACGTTTTGGTACACCAAAGGTTCACCAAGTCATCCCATGAACCAGTGGCCAGCACTGAGAAATATCCGACGAGTCGATACCAAAGCTGGAGTGGCCTGAGTTGATGGGTTGGGTGAGGAATTCACCGTGCCAGACGATGTGCTCTCCATTTCCATCACCGCCTGCTGATACCTGACTATCTCGTGATACCACCAATGCCAACACCCAATTGCTCAATTTGCTATGATCCTCTATCTTCTTCAATGCAACACCTTGTTCTTCGAGTCCCAAAGACGAAGTGTGTAGCCGTTCGAGGCTGTAACCATTCGGGTAACACTGCGACTACATTTATACCCTCTTGATGATCTTTAAGAACTTGAAGGAGTCTGACACTGGACATGAGCTGTGACGTTTTCCTGGAAGTTGATAGGCACGGTCGAGGAGGAATTGTGGGTGTCTTTCTCTAAGCTGCGGATGTGTGTATTGGGCGCTTTGATGCTACTTCACCCAAACTCCACCACGCTAACCTACCTCATTTCCATAGACGTGTCATGACTACCTTGCTCAATAGCAGTGCTGTACTGCATACATGCGTCTGACTCCAATATCCAGAGCTTCCAGAATGTATCCATTTGCATTAGATTGCGATACTGCAGTTTCAATACTTCCAGGCCCTCGAACACTGTTTATCCCAGATGGCCCTGTGAACATTGTTCTTTCTTGGATCTAGCAGCCACTCCAGCAATCACCATGTAACTTATTTGAATACAGGCATACAGATAACCTCTTCACCCCATCGACTCCCAAGATCTGTGTGTACTGGATGTATCTCTCTTCTCAAAATCGTGACTAATTCTGCAATGACAGGGTTTCTGCCTTCATACTATCCTGTTGATCGCAATCACCTTTCTCAAAGGTATCTATAACCCTGCTTCCAGTGGCATGCTCGTGTCTCATATCAGTTTTTAGCTTCGCCCATTCCAGGTTCAACTGGTTTTAGTTTTCTTGTTTGTCATTTGAACGGCCATCACTCCGCGTGTTTGTGAACACTATCTATCATGGGATGCATACTGCCTGTAATTGAACCACTGAGAGAACAAGTATCACCCACTGTTTGTACTCGACCGGTGCTGTGTGAGCGTGATCGATTTTGCGAATTGACTTGTGACTAGTTCATGATTTAGTCAATACGCTGTACTATCATCACCAATAATTGATACACGAGGACGAAATGATGGATAAAAGTTCTACGTCCTCGTATGCGGGGTGGCACCCGATTTCCGTTGCACCACGTGTAGTTCAACGTTCGATATTTGTTGTGTTGCTTTCATTTTCGATTACAAAGGTGCTACAATTTGAATGAGGTGCGCAGGAATGAGCTTACAGGTACTTGATAAAGAACGAAAATGCAGGCTACTACGCATCCAAAAATATTTTTGAAAAGTACTTCTTCACGCCTTCTGCACCATGTACGATCGCCCCAATCACACCATCCGGCCGTATCACAAACACCTTCGTCTGGCCAGCTTCCACAAGGTAAGCCGAATAAGCATGGCCCTCCTGATCAACAAGAGTGAGGTCAGCAAGGGACACAACAGTAGCACCTGTTGTTGATGAAGGCAGAACGACTGCTGATCGCACAATGCCTGTGTCGTATGCCTCCAGCGCACCCAAGGTCAGGGTAGCATCTGCATGACTCGGCGCGAACACAAGCACAGTGTGATACCAAGGTCTGTAGAGACTAAAAAGCGTTTTTACATCGGATTCTCCACCTCCCACCTGGAGCATATTTGGCGCATCAGGTGCCCTGTCCCCAGCTTCCAGGTTCCCTTGGTCAAGCGCCCCGTACGCATTGATAGGCTTGCCTGGAATTGCAAACTCGTCGAGAACGATGTCGCTGAATCGGTAATTGATACCAAGCATGAAAAGGATTGGGCTTCGTGCGGCAATCACGCTGCCTGTCTTCAATGTCTGGTTGAGAATCGTGGTGGTCATCTCAAGCATTTCGGAGATAACGGGCAGGCGCTCTGCATTATACGTCTCAAGGAGAGACTTGTCGGCGAGTCCTTTTTCGACGAGCGCAAGCTTCCAAGCTAGATTGAACTGGTGTACGGTCAGTAGTGTCATACACACTGCATTAACAAAGGCTTACAGCATCTTGTATACTTGAATTGAGTCCCTGTTCATAGACAGATGAGTAGGTATCGGCATTTGATCAAAGCGCGCACACACCTGACCACCGGTTGGACTGTGGACACTGAAAATATGTCAGAATCAGTTTGGCAAAGAAGCGCTCAAAGATGGACATACTGAGCAGCATCTAGATAGACTTCCATCATCACAGGTACATCATTCAGAAAGTGGAACTACATACCACCCGCGACAAAAACTCGACCCTTGCTGAACTTGTTAACCATGCGGATGTTGGCCCTAAAACAAACAAAGGAACATCGAAGACACATCGATGTGACCAAATAAGACGCACCTGAAATCGCTCACCCAGACAAGCTTTTTGAACGTGACCTCAGTTGGTATCGCTGATGCGATAATCTTGAAGATCAGCTCCTCGCTCTGAGCAATCTTTGTCATGTCTAGATCATTGTTGATCACGACAAATTGCCAGCCATCCTCGCCAATTTCGTCTGTTGGACGTAATGAGGTGCTGCCCAGCGTCAATATACATCCCAAAGCCTCGAGAGCAGAAACTGGACATACCCTCGATTAAAATTTCCAAATCGGTGCCAATACTTTTAAGAAGGTATCAGGAGCACTCCTTCATGAAGTTAGTAGAAATCGGACGCACCGCTCTGTCAAGACCAACGCTATGTAGACGAATATCTCCCATGATCAGCTGGACATCGTCTCTTGTCTCGCCCAAGAATGTGAGCCCGAGCTGTTTGCGCACGATACCTGTGAACTATAGCTCAGATTCATCCTACTGCATTTGAATCTGATCGCGTTTCACCTTTAGCACCATCAGCGCCGATCAACCACTTAGCATCGAAAGTTTCCAATATGCCGTTCTTTGCTAACACAGCCGTAACACCTTTGTCGGACTGCTCGAACGAACGCAACTCGGTGCCCATCTCGACAGTGCACGAGAATTTCTCTAGGTGGCGTCGCAGAATCACATCTAAGAGTTGTTGACCCATCAGCTTTGGAATGTGCTGCAATACAAACATAATTAGTTGAGAAACAACGGTTTTGCATAGATGGTACGTACGAATGGTATCGCAGGGGTAGGTTCCACACGCGGACTCATCGAAGATTCCTTCGGAGATTCCAACGTCCCATGCTCGTAGGAACGGATTATAGGGAAGGGTTTTGCCAGCTCGTTGACTTCAAGGACATTCAGGAAGTTAAAGAGTTCGAAGGAGCGTGGCTATATGGTGCATTGAATGAGACTAAAGATCGTCAGAGAAGCGGTATCATGACAAACCCAAATTCCGGGACCACGCTGTCCGATTCGAGGGTTGGGATCTTTGTCAATGATGCGAACTGGTATGTCGTTCTGTAGAAGCGTTAACGCTGCTACCAGACCTGCTGGCCCAGCGCCTACCTACGGAAGAGGAATTAAGCTGAGGCGCAACCACTCTTCGTACACACTGGCACTTCACTTACGACTAGCACGGGAGAACGAGTAGAATTCATGTGTAGAAAGTTCAAAGACTTTAGATCTGAATGATGGATATTCACATCTTATAACATAGGGGACAGCCTATGAAGACGGTGCAGGCAACCATATTAGATGCCCTTCAGCTGTGTATCCTATATTAATATCAGTGTGCCGCAGCTGATAAAGAGGAACTGCGACGTCGCATGACATGTCGAATAATTTGTCAAAACGCTCATCAGTGACTCCTGCAGATGATATGGTGTTGACTTGGAGCGTCAGATAGTATTGATGTCTGTTCTGATTATAGTAGGATAAACTTACGTAGGTGGGCCTCACGGTGCGAAGTCAGCTGCAGGAACGAAAACACACATACCTTTTGAATTTCGATTCCTTAGACTTGGCTAGATTGGTTGCTACCAGCAACTGCAGACGCTCTCGATGTCCTAATTCTGAACGTTGCAATGTGATAGGAAACTGGCGACTGCCGCAAGGGAGTAACCATGCCTTTACCAACAGCTACAAACTATGGAAAGCTGGACGCGCGCGCTTATTATTAAGCGTCACACATCCATAACGGGCAATAGGACTCCATGTACCGCCATTCAAGAATACTAGAATATATACACGAAATATATACAATGAGAAACATCACCATTCATCTACCATTTCATCATCACTTTCGCAATCTGAGAACTCCCAAACCACCAAGCCAGCATGATCAAGACCGACCAAATTTTCATCAGCCCCAAGTGGGATGTCAGGCTCATCATTAGACGAAAGGATATCTAGCTGATGAAGGTGCTCAGTATCTAACAAATATCTAAATTAGTGTTTGCACTGTCAGAATCAGAGACGACGAACCAAGGCCAAGGCCTCCACCCACACCACCCATGTAATAGGCACCATTGGCCTCCTCATGAGAAGGTAAGTCTTCATAGTTTTCTAAAAGTGCAATGGAATCTTCGTCTTCACTGCCCAACAGCTGAATTTGGTTTGGTAATGCATCGGCCACCCAGAGGGCATCTAGTAAGAGCTGATATATGTCCCAGGCTGATTGCTGTGTGACAGCTGGGCAGCTGAGATCGTCGTAACAATGTTGGATGCATTTTCCGAAAGCCTCTGGAACCAGGTCAAATACAGAATGAGAAGACTTGATGTAAAGGCTTCGGACATGATCTAGGGCCTCATGTTCGATTTTAATCTATGATAGTGCTGGTATTAGATTATTATTGACAATAAACATAACACTTACCTTGAAATCCAAGGCGCCAAAGTCTTCAGCTGAATGGTAGATGAGGTTGGGTACTCCATGAGGAAGAATCTAGAAGGACATCAGTGCAAAAAATACTTCTAAAAGCGACACATACTTTATTGCGGTCACGCCGCTTGGCAGTATTGTTAACACGGTCCTGGTATGCATTCAGCTCCTGCTGAAGCCATGGTATAAAAACCCAACAGAAAACCATCCTGCAAATGAATGTTATACCTAACACTTAAAGAGGAGGAAAATGACGCACACTTGAAGGGTATTATTTGAATCGTACCAACCAGAATTGACCCCATAATCTAGAAGACTCGAAACCAGGTGTGAAGCGGCGGTGCAGTTGAGACCATGCCATCTCTGGCATGACATTCTTCTTTATTCGCATCCAACGATGTTGGAGCGTACCATGTAAGGCTGTGTCGTACCACTGTCGCAGCATAGTATGGGCATTTGCAATGCCATAATTTTCGGACCCTGGGTCACTCTGAGTAACCATCAGCATATCTAAATTTTGTATCAATCTATGTTTATCCTTCAAAGGATGAAACACTTACGTCCAAGAGCCTCGATCGTGTCGAGGTAGTAACTCAGAATAAGCTGTGGATTCCGGTTAGAATGCCAGACCTGGATCCACATTATTCGACCTGAGAAAGGCTCGATGCCAGTGTGCAAACCGAGACCAAACTGAAGCCACTTATTGTGCTGATCGACTGCAAATAAATCATTCACACCTGCTGCCCAGAAGTGTCTCCTTTGAAGGCAACAGGCCTTCCTCTGATGAACCAGTTCCGGTTCATATAAAGCAAAGTACTCTGTCATGACCCTCCTAGTAGGATATGAAACTTGTGGGTCAGCAATCAGTAGTTACAATGTATAGATAAACATATCACCTGGCAACACTCATTTCCCTTTCATGATATAGCAAGCTTACTATTTCGCGTGCTCCAGCATTTGGGTATGTGGCGTGTAAGTCAATCATAGCATTGCGAATGGTTTCGACCGTGTGACCTTGTTGATGGGTTCATTGAAGACCCATGGTCTTTCGAACTTTGAGAAGTGTTGTAAGGCTAGTGTATTATCATTAGACCTAAATAACTAGATTTAAATAGAAACATTACCCAATACCATAGTGAGTTGTGTCAATGTGCTTTTGTAATTCCTGGATGATCTGCCGAGCCTTCCAAAGGTGAAGGATATGAGGTGTGATGTCATCCAGTGGTGCTGCTCAGAGTTGAGAATGTTATTAGTGGGACTTGAAAGGTACATATGTGTGGGTTTGTTTTGGTTGGGCATCGGCAGCTGGTAGCTAGGCTTGTGTTGTCACACTTTATATATTAGTTGGGACTTGCTTGACTTACCTCCTTCAGTAGTACCATGCTGCAGTCACATGGGAATTCATGGAATTCATGCCCGAATTCATGCCCAGAGTTTGCCACTCATGCCCCACTCATGCCTCCGAGTCGGCCATTTTCCCAAGTTGAGTTCAGCTACTACCTACCAAGTGTTCTGTAGGTTTGTGTTACAAGAACATCTAGACGCTTGGGCCCCTACCATTTTTCTCCTAATACTCCTCGTATCAGCCCTCGCGTCATACCCTTACCCCGACCTCACCCTTGTTATCCTCGTCATCCTCGCATTCCCTTTCGCCCTCTACCTGTCGCTTCAGCAGAGCCAATACATCTGGCCGGATCCTTTCGCTGACGAAGCATACCCATGCTCCGTTTCACCACCTGACTGATCCTGTGGACAGTCCCCCTGCCTTTACCGTCTGGACGGTAGCCTATGATATGATGCACGACGCATCCCCTTTGCCCTATTTCCTTTATTGATCTCTGACTCGTTGCGCAGTCGCACATGCGACTTATACTTAGTTCCGCAGTTGCACGATCATGCCCCTGCGCGTTTCACTTCTTATTCCGATCTATGACTCACTTTCTTATCTGCACGTTCAGAGCTCGCCCGTGTCTGGCCTCGAACGTGCCTTCCTGTTATGGTCTTACCCTTTACCGATTGCCTCTCCCGGTAGTACGAGTTATCATCCACTAATACGTTTCCTGTCCTCTATATAAACTCGCTACCATGTACTATATTCCTTAACTTGAATCTACTTGGTTCTTGACCTCCTACTCTTAACTGAGTGATCCTTTCTGCCTCGCCAGCAGTCTATATTCTATCTTCTTATCTGCTCATCGCGGATAAGCCTATAGTCTCGACCTTTACTCATCGACTTCGTCGACGAGCAAAGCCCCTGTTAACTAGTCGGACTTCTGTCCTTCTAATTAACGACGATCCTTACGATTAACCTTCGGGTGTCGTAAGCCTAGGCCGATATAGCTTATCGTCTCGCACCCGCGTGACATAAGCTACCCGATTTGGACATAGGCGTTAAATCATACTTGCCGAAGACACGCCAAGTACGACCCCTAACCTTGGGCTAGCCCAAGGACGTCCACAGACCGTTGACGACACAAGCTCTGTTTGAGCGTCGCCAACAGATACCATCCAAGTCGTAACAAAAGATTCAAGTTACCTTCTAGCCCTCGACACCTATCGAGGACAGAAACAGATACAAGACGACCACTCCCTGGACACGCAAGTTCTCTTGGGAGTGCGACCCGAATCAGGAAGATCCTGATGAAGAAGAGGTAGACGGACAGTTTAGCTCTCCCACCTCACCGACAGAGCAGTACCACTCAGACGAGGGACTGAACGACGAAGAAGATCTAGGAAACACTCCGACTTCTGAAGAGGACTTTCCAGACGAAGTACCTCCCCGAAACACTAGCGCCAATCCGAAGACAAGAATGTCTAACCCATCCTCCTCCACCGCCGTCGTAGTTCGTGCCCCTGAACTCAAAGCAGGGTCACCAACAGACTACGATGGGAACACCGACGACGCACAACGATGGCTCTACAGCTTAAAGACGTACTTCCTCATCAACCCCACCGTCTATTGCAGCGAGCAGATCATGGTGTCCGTCAGCCCTGTCATTAATGACAAAGAACAGCGCTAAAGCATGGGCTGATAACTTCTATCGCGAAGCTTTCAGCACCAACCCTCCGAAATTCGGAACGTTCGCAGAATTCGAGAAAGGATTCAACCTTGCATTTCAACCCGTTGATAAGCAGGTGAATGCCCTCACCGAAATCGCCGAACTCAGAATGGGAAACAACGTTACGGACTACATCTCGAAGTTCAAAACGTTGGCTACCATCGCCAATATCAAGGAAGGCGTGACACTCTCACACTTCTTTGAGAAAGGCCTGAACCCAAGCCTTCGCGAAGCAATCTACAGGAAGGAGACACTTCCTGACACTATCGAAAAGTGGTACACTTCTGCGGTACAGCTCGACGCTAACTACCGCAGGAGCAAGGCCGTCTCTGCCAACTCCCGCAACCAACACACCCGATACGCCCCTCGCGGTTCCAAGTACTACCCCAAGCCTAATGTCTCATCGTCCAGAGACCCTAACGCTATGGACGTAGACCGCACCCTCTCTCAGGCAGAGAAAGACGAATGCTACAAGAAGGGCCTTTGCTTCTCATGCAAAGAGCATGGCCACAGAGCCAACGATCCCAGATTCCACCCGAAGATACGACGTGGAGAGAAGAAAGATACCAAAGGAAAGACTCCGGTAACGACTGGTAGAGACCAGCGTGACTGACGAAACCTCCGAAGACGACATGGAAACCAACAGGCTCCAAGGAGAAGAGGATTTTTAGAACGGAGGACCGCAAAAGCAACGTGCGTCCCCTCCTTAGATATCCTGTGTACTCATACTGTAGGAAAAGAAAATGAATTCCGTGTCCCGGTGACACTTTTCTCTTCCACA